GATGAATAATGCAGTCTGCCTCTATGAAGGCATCCAAGATGAAGACTGAAAAAAGCCCCTTGGAATTGGCCTTGAGGAGTTTGTCCATGACCTTTAACAAGGGAGTAGTTTCAGTAGAAGCTGGGGTGGGGAATTGGATTTTGAGGGGGCGAGGTATGAGTTAAGATCCCTCATTCCTGAGGCTGTCAGGGGGAAGGAGCGAGGCAGGTGAGCTGGTAACCGGACGGGGTGACCAAGTGGAAGGCAAGGGGTCTTCTAGAAAGAGACAGCCTGTTTATCAGTGGGCCTGAGTGTCATTTTTAGTAGTAACCAGTCTCTTTCTGCAATCGTTCTTCCACCTTCAATGCCAGGGATGACACTAGGGAAGGCAAAGAACAAAAGAGAAAGAGTCTCATTTTGAGGGTTCTAAAAGCACAAGAGGGAGAGGGGCAGAGGGACAGGGAGGGGAAAAGAATCTCAAGCAGACCCTGTGCTGAGTGTGGAGCACCTTGTCGATCTCATGACCCTGAGATCATGACCTGAGCGGAAACCAAGAACTGGACACTTAACCAACTGAGCCACCCAGGCCCCCAGCATCTGTCACTTTTCTGGTGGTAGGGAAGGTCCAAGAAAGCGCAGGATCTCAGAGCCCCACCCCCACCGCACGATGCAGGGCAAGGCCAAGGACTTGAGACACCCCCGAGGGTTCCCTCATGACTCCATGTGCCGCAGGGGGCAGCAGAATGTGTTGCATCCATTGTGGTTTGGGGGGTGGTGGGCCCTGGTGGCAGGTGGCCTAGAAGAGACCTCGAGGAGGGGACAGGGAGCTCACAGCAGGGACCTCTGTGACGTGCCCGCATGCCTTCTTGGGAGGAGCCAAGTGCGGTAGTCGGCTGCTGCCGCTGCTGTTACTACCGGAACAAGCCCACAGCCTTCTCTAACACCAGAGCTCATTCAGAATTTGGAATTCTTTCGGACCTTAGACATAGGTGATCCGGGGCACGTGCAATGTGTTATGTAACACTGCTTAGTATGGTCCAGGGGCAGCCCCGTGTACTGACATAAAAGAATATTTCTGCAGCAAAGTGTATGGGATACATAAAGATTCTAGAGCCTCGTTTAAATCAGAATGTCTTTGAGGTCAGATTTTGCTGTCAAGTTACTTTTGGTGCCAAATTTTATTTTATTTTATTTTATTTTATTTATTTATTTCTTAAAGATTTTATTTATTTATTTGAGAGAGAGAATGAGATAGAGAGAGCATGAGAGTGGGGAGGGTCAGAGGGAGAAGCAGACTCCCTGCCAAGCAGGGAGCCCGATGCGGGACTCGATCCGGGGACTCCAGGATCATGACCTGAACTGAAGGCAGTCACTTAACCAACTGAGCCACCCAGGCGCCCTTGGTGCCAAATTTTAAAAGTCTTTCCAGTTCAGTCCTGGGAGTCACCCTGGCTCCTTCCTTTCCCTCCTTGCTCTCCCCCAGATCCAAGGGGTCAGCTAATGCCCCCTATCCTATCTCCCTAACACTTCTCACGTCCGTCTCCTTCCTTCCATCCCTCCTGCTGCGTCCTGGTGCCGGCCACCTTCCACTCTCACTGGGACCGGCACACCCACCTCCTGCCCGACCTGCAGCCTCCAGTTTCTGCTCCATACTGCCCCCAGAGGAGTTGCTCTAGAGTGCAAACTTTTGGCCTGGCCTGGGTGTCCCGTCAGGATAGTGATGTGTTTACCTGAGAAATACCAGCAGAATTGAAGAATGTTAAACTTTCTTTTCTTTTTTTTTTTTTAAAGATTTTATTTATTTATTTGAGAGAGAGAGAACACAAGCAGGGGAGAGGCAGAGGAAGAGGGAGAAGCAGGCTCCCAGCTGAGCAGGGAACTCTATTCGGGACTCGATCCCCAGGACCCTGGGATCATGATCTGAGCCGAAGGCAGACGCTTAACCGACCAAGCCACCCAGATGTCCGAATGCAGACTTTCTTTAATGGTCGTGGGTGTGGAAAGTTACCTTTTGGAGTCCACTAAGCAAGAAACGGTTGCCGGCTCCCGGATGGAGGTATAGGTGGCTTGCAATGTTCCACACTGAGGTGTAAGCTGCAAGAAGCTCTCCCCCGCCACCCCCACCCTCCCCCCCGCCATTCTCAGGAGTCTGGTTCCATTCTGGACCCTCCTGACTGCTCAGGCTGGGTATGTGCCTGCCTGCTTGTCAGGTCCAAGTAATTCGTGCAAAACATACATCCCAGTGCCAATTTCTCAGGCATAGGAGGACCAGGCTTCAGTTTGCTGAGAGTCCTCACTGCAACTCCAAAATCCAGTGCTGACCCCCAGAGAGTCTGGTTGGTCACATCCATGGCCCTGTTCCGTAGGCTACCTTGGCCACGCTGTCTAGAATGAATGCAGACCAAGAGGCCAGCTCTCCTTCTTGTGCTCACAAAGGCCAAACAAAATCACAGGGCTTCTCAGGCCCGGGAAGCAGCCCCTGATCCCAGTGGTTGCATATATAAGAGAAAAAAGGAGGGAAATGGCAGCTCCAGGTTCTTGCTGTTCGAGCTGCAATGAAAGAAGTGATCACAGGACACCTGGGTGGCTCAATCGGTTAATCGCCTGCCTTCAGCTCAGGTCATGATCCCAGGGTCCTGGGATCGAGTCCTGTGTCAGGTTCTCTGCTCGGGGAGTCTGCTTCTCCCTCTGCCTGCCGCTCCCCCTGCTCGTGCGCTTTCTCTCTCTCTCTCAAATAAATAAATAAAATAAAAAAGAAAGAAGTGACCACGAGGCTTTCCTTTTACTCTTGCCTTTCGGTGATCAAGGTTTTCCATAATTTAATGTTTAAAAAGTTACCATTTATGGAGCAAGCCTTTATAGCGGGCCTGTGTTCAGCTCTCTCTATACACTCTCACTGAGTCAGTACAATCCTCCTGCTCTGTCAGAACTGTCACGATCTCTACTTTCTGGTTGGGAAACCTGAGTCCCAACCTGACTGGTTGGCTTGCCTGAAATCATACAGTTAGCGAAAGCTCCCATCACATAGCATTTTCTTTTGTGATGAATTAGTGTTTTCCACAAATACTTGATGTCCCTCCCTATTGATATCCTTGCTCTCTTAAACTTAGGCCAGAGCATATGACTTGCTTTGGCCAGTGAAATATGAGCAGAAGTAACACGCATGCTGCGTCCGGGTAGAAGCTTTCAAGAGCTGGTACAGGACTCACATACTCTCTTTTCCCTGCCTCGGCAGTTTTAGAAGCCTGTGGTGAGATGGAGCATTTATCAGCCCAGGTCTCTGACAGCCGACCTTGAGCAGAGACCACATCTCTGAAGTTGATGCTTCAGATGAGCATCAACTATGAGCAAGGAATTTATTTTGTTGTTTTAAGCTCCTGGGATGTTCCCGGTTGTTTCTTACCATAGCAAAACCTAGCCCGTCTTGACCAATCTCTCCCTCATGTGGCGTCAGAATGGAGAGGCTAGCCATGGGGGCCAAGACCCACTTACCTTAAGCTCTGAGTCCCGCTTACCTATGCGGACCAAACCCCTCCCACCTGCCACAATGCACCCCTTCTTCTGCCCCCTTCCTGGCTTCACAACCCCACCTGACCTGGCACCCACTTCCCAATTTGTGTAACACACTTCCTGCTCTTGCCACTCAGACCACAACGCTGAGATGTGGTTTTCTAAAAAACTGGCTAAGCCCGAGCCATCTGAAGAGACTTTCAGCTACTGTTTTGAGGTCACTGTGGCCAAATGCTGATTTCCATATAAGCTGCCAGTATTCCAAGAAGATGTTAGCGGTGACAAATACACACTTTGTTGGGAAATGCTGCACCCTGGGCACTGCCTGTGAGGAAATCTTTGCAGAATGAACCAGAAGTTCTGTTGGAAAACGATGATACAGAACAGAGGGCACTGGGTTGGAAGTGCTCCTAGAACAACATTTATTGAGCACCTACTGTGCCTGGCAATCAGAACTCTGCTGTCCCTGTGTCAGGGAACTCAGATGAGACAGACAAGTATGAGCAGAGGGTGATGATGATACAGCACGATAAATGAGGCTGGCTGCCTCGTCTAGTCATTTATTCATCTAAAGTGTATGTATTGAGTTCTCCTGATATGGTAGGGACTGGGCATTAATTGCAAACCAGACAAGGACCATCTTTGCCCTCCCAAAGTTTGTAGTCTAACAGGCCGAGAGAAATAGACACAGAGTGCTAAGGGAGCATCTAGCCGAGGCAAATAACCTCCTCGGGGGTGGGGGTGTGGTTCTAGGATAACTTTATTAAGAACATGACTCCAGAAGAGAGTCCTGAAGGATGAGCAGGAAGGAGGCAGCAAAGAAGGGGGAAGGGCATTCCAGGCAGAGGGAACCCTTGAAGCAAAGACCTGGAAGCATGAATCAGCTTAGCACATTTGCTAAGTGCAAACAGTTTAGTCTGACTAAAGCAGAGAGTTTAAACTAAAGAGGAACAACAGAGAAGGCGAGAGCCCAGGCTAACAGGGGCGACATCTCAAAGGGTCTTGGATGCTGGCTTTCGGTGCTTGGACTTAACCTGAAGACAGAAGGAGCCCTTGCAAGAGTTTTGAGCTGGAGTGTTTATTAGTTAGGAAACAGGCTGAGGTACAGTAACAAAAACACTAAACTAACAGTGGCTTAAACAAGATAGACGTTTACTTCTTGCTTATGTAAAAATGCAGATAGGCAAGCCAGAGTGGGCATGGTGGCTCCACAATGGTGAGGGACCCTGGTTCCTTCTGGTTTGTTGCTTTGACATCTTATACAACACACGGCTTCCTTCTTGCGGTCCAAGAGGGCACCTCCGGCTCCCACCATCAATTCTGCATTTCAGGCAGCAGGCAAAAGCACGAGGGATGTGGCAGACTTACCCCTTCCCTGGAAAGGCATAACCCAGGACTTGCCCACATCACTTTCATTCACATTGTACCACCCAGAATTCAGTCGCATGGCCTTGGCTAGCGACTGGGCTGCTGGGAAATGTAGTTTCTATTCTGGGCAGACATGTGTTTGGCTAAAAGGCAGAGGCTCTATTACTAAAGGAAGGATGGAGGCTGGGAAACAACCAGCTGTCTTCAACAGGGAGCGACGATCCTCTTTGCCTTTTGGAAAGATCTCTCTGGGAAAGGGAGAAGGAGGAAGGTCTGGATGGCAAGGGACCAGGGCCAAGGAAATCATCCAAGTGAGAGCTACCGAGGCCTGAACCGAGGCAGAGACATCTGCAGTGGAGGAAGTGGACAGAGGCTTAGGAGAGAGTTGGAGGTTGAACGGACCAGGACACAGGGACCAACTGTACTTAGACACACATCTAATTCACTGTACTTAGCACAGGGCTGTGACCAGCATATAGTAAGTGCTTATGAGAGCGTGAATGTACGAGGTGAGAGCAGGAGCCAAGGACAACAAGAGTAATAATAAAGGCTCCTGGAACTAACTTGACAGAGGAATATCAACACTTAAAGGTAAATATCAAATAATTTTTTTTTTCTTTTAGAAAAATAACTGCTACCCACTGGTCCTCCAGCTGGTTCTGAAACTTTCAGTCATTTTAGTTATTAATGCAGTCTCTTCTTTTGGGCATTAACTTGGTCTTTCTAATGCCTCCCTCCTCCTTCCTTCCTTCCTTCCCTCCCTCTTTCCTCTTCCTTTTCCTCCCCTTCCTCCTCCTCTTTCTTCTCTCTCACTCCTTCCTCCTTTCTTTATCCTTTTTTTTTGCCTATTTTCAAATATTAATCTCGTACTGGACTCCAAGTCCCAGCAGACAGGACTTGTGGTGAGAGGGGAGGTGGTCATGGTCTGCCCTCTCCTCTCTGCCCTCTGGTGGGGAGGAATAGAAGGAAAACTTAGGTGTCCCCTGCTGACCCTTGGCGGGCCCCTTCTTCACAGCTTGTAAGGGGGCTGATTTCCTGTCATCACAGCTGCTCAGCTCATTGTCTATAGACATGGAGTGGGGGGCTGGGCCCTGCACAGGCCATGCTGAGAAAGGACTCGGTGCCAAAGTGCTCTCCTCCGCTGGTGGCCTCAGGCTCACCACTTTGCCCCCAGCAGGCCTGCTGTGCCCATCACATCTACCCTGTGTGGCCCCAATCCCGGAGCCTATGGACAAGGTCTCTCAGAAAGCTTACTCTATAGACACTCCTTCTCACCCACTGGCCACCCAGTCACACCCTCGGCCTTCTCTCTCGGGTGCCCTTTGCCCTACTTCAGTTAGCACCGAGGCGGGTCAGAAGTACAGGGGCTTCAGCTGACACCCACGGGAATGTGAGGCCATTCCCCCCATTGGCACCCCAAACTTGAAGAATACTTCTCTGGACTCTGCTCCACTTGTCCTGTGCTGTGTACTAGACCACCCCGAACTTCGTGGCATAAACAACCACGAATTTTACCATCCTCGCAGATTCTGTGGGCCAGGAATTTGAAAGGATGCAGGGGGCATGGCTGGACTCTGATGGAGGTAGGCAGCCTCCGAGATGCCTCCCAGGACTCATGCCCTTGTGTGTTCGTCCACTCTCACTCTGTATCAAGGTGGGTCTCTGTGGCCAGTCAAATATGGCAGAAGGGATCATATGTCACTTTTGAGGCTAGGTTATAAAAGATATTGTGGTTTCTGCCTTTCTGTCTTTTGGATCCCTTGGGGGGAAGCCAGCTGCCGTGTCATTAGGACACTCACCCATGGAGAGGCCAGCCTGGAGAGGAAGAGAGGCCTCCCACCAGTGGCCATGTGAGGGAGCTTGGACGTGGCCATGGCTCCTCTGGCCCTAGGGAAAGTCTAAGACTTTTGCAGCCCTTGGCTGACAGGCAGACTGCGACTCTGTGAGACAGCATGAGCCAGAACCACCCAGGTATGCCGCTCTCAGATTCCCGGCTGTCAGAAACTGTGGCAGAGGATAACTGTTTATTGTTTGAAGTTGTTACACTTTGGAGTCATTTGTTATGCGGCATTAGGTAGCTGATACACTGCTCCAGGATGTCTGTGCCCTGAGCTGAGAGGACTCAAATGGTGGGGGGCTGGGATCTCTTGGAGGCTGCTTCATTCGGGTGGCTGGAGCCTTAGCTGGGATGGCTCAAAGGCTCTGTCGGCCTTGTCACCTGGAGGGTTGGCATGTGGCCTGTCCACGTGGCGTGGCTTCTCATGGCATAGTAGCTGGGCCATGAGAAGAAGTGTCTGTAGAGTAAGCTTTCTGAGAGATCTTTTGGCCTTGCCTCCAAGTCAAGCAGGGTAATTTTCACTGTATTCTGTCGTCACAGGTGAGTCACCAAGGCCAGTCCAGATTCCAGAGGATGGGATTTAACTGGTTCTCTTGATGGAGGAGTGATAAGGTCACATTGCAGAAGAACAAGTGGGATGGGAGATATGATGGCCATCCTTGCAAAATACAGCTGGGGCCCTGCCTCAGGGGAGGAGCCAGTCCATTGGTCTGCCCCTCAGGAGAGAGGGATATGTGGCTTTTTACTGGCAACACGCCTCCAACACCCTTGGAAGAGTGCTGGTTCTGCTGAAGTGGTGCTTCCTATCAAGCCCTGGGAGGAGCCAGTCATCCTCTGAGCTTGGAAGGTAGAGCAGTGCATGCCTTTTCTTCTCAACTCTGGATTCTGGGGCTCATTTCCCTTTCTGGATAAACAAGGAAGGTCCCAGTGGGCACCTTCTCCCACCAAGGCCCACCACCCTCTCCCTACCAGCTACAGTGCTAACCAGTTTCCCTCATTCAGTTCTGTACTCATCTACTAGTTGAGAATTAGGACTTCCTGCTTTTGCAGAGCAGGAAGTAATCTGACCAAGGTCACATAGCCGGAAGTGGTAGAGCAGGGACTTGGCCCCCTGACCCCAAAGTCCAGGCTCTAGGGCCCTGGGATTCCAGAAAGCCTACGGGGCATCGGCCATCGGAGCCTTAGCCCTGGTCTCCTCGGGGCCTTGCTGAGGGCAAGGCCAGTGTGAGCAGTGTGAGGGGGAGGGGATGGACTCTGCCAGAGGGTTTGGGCTAGTTGTCAGGTGTGCTGTTGGGTGAAAGGGCAGGAGAAACAAGTAAAGGAATAATCCATTTTTACCTTCTTTTCAGGCCTGTCCCCAGTTAGTGAGTTTTCCAGGGGCCAGAGGGTGACCTCCAGGGTGACAGCCTTGGACTCACTACCCCTCTGCATTTTTTTTTTTAAGATTTTATTTATTTATTTGAGAGAGAGAGAATGAGAAAGAGAGCACATGAGAGGGGGGAGGGTCCGAGGGAGAAGCAGACTCTCTGCCGAGCAGGGAGCCCGATGCGGGACTCGATCCCGGGACTCCAGGATCATGACCTGAGCCGAAGGCAGTCGCTTAACCAACTGAGCCACCCAGGTGCCCTACCCCTCTGCATTTGTAGGACTGAAACCCCCTCTCTGTCCTGGAGCCTCTGGTCGGAGAGCCCTCTGAGCTCCTGGGACCCATGGATGCTGGGTCTCGGAGTGATTTCCGGCCCCAGTGAACATGTCTCTGGCCAGTGTCCAGCTTGCCTGGCCCCTCCTTTCCCTGTGACCCCTACTTCCCATCCTGCCACACCTCCAGATCCCAGAATGGGACAGTTCCCAGCGCTTACTGCCTGCCAGACACTGAACTCATGTTGCGGATCCAGAAATAAGTGAGATACAGCCTCTGTCCTTGAGCAGGTCACAGTCTAGCGGGAGGAGAAACGTGAAGTGTTAACTGCCCGGTGTCAGGTCAAGGGCACGTTGAATAAGGGTAGGCATCACAAAGGTGAGAGGTGCAAACTCAATGATAAAAAGCAACAACATGGATGAATCTCTGGATCATCATGCAGAACAAAAGAGTCCAGACTGTATGATCCCATCTTTATAAAGCTCTAGGCCAGGTTTATAAAGAGATATAAGTAAGATCAGTAGTCGCTTGGGGGTGGGGGTGGGGTGGCTGGGACGAGGCAGGAGGTGATGGATGTCCTGCAGTGTTCTGAGGATGAGGAATAGTCTGAGGTGGTGAAAATGTTCTAAACCTTGATAGGAGTGTGGGTCACCTGAGAATATTTGCTTGTTAAAGGGGAGCGGTTCGCCTAAGATCTGTGAGTTTCATCATGTGTAGATTATACCTGTGGTGGGCAACATTCAAAATAGCCCCGGGGACCCTTGCCTCCTGGTGTGCATGCCCTAGTGCAAACCCTGTCCCCTAGATGGCAGAAGGGATGGTGAGTCCCTGCTGAGATTGGGGTATAAAAGACTTTGCTGTTCCATCTTAGTCTCTCTCTCTCTCTCTCACGGCTTGTTCTGGAAGAGGCCATGTGCTGAGCATCTCTATGGAGAAGGGCGTGTGGCAGAGGAATTGAGGGCTCCTGCCAAGAGCGATGTGCGCGAGCTTACGGTAAGGGCGTCCCTCCGTCCCAGTTAAAGCCTTCGGGTGTCTGCAGCCCTGGCTCGCTGCTTGACCACAAACTCATGAGAGACTCTGAACTAAGCTGCCTCCCGATTCTGCCTCTCAGAAGTTGTGTGGGATAATAAATGCTTATTGCTTTAAACCACGACGCTTTGGGAGTTATTTGTTCTGCAGCTATAAATGATGAATACGGTATTTCAATAAACTAAACATGTGAGGAAAACAGCTTCTACGTGCTCTTGGCCCAGCTGGCTTTCCCGGGGACTTTCAAGCGCTTTCTGTGACTCAGACTTCTGGGCTCAGTCTCCGGAACAGGGAGATGAGTGGCCTGGAGCTCTGTCTAGACATCAGGAGTTGGCGTCTTCAGCATAGCTACAGCTTCTACCCACCCACCGCACCAGCCCCGAAACACCTGCACCCAGCGCCCCGCCCCCCACACCTGCCATGGGGAGAAGACCCCAGAACTGCTCCTCCATCCCCCTCCCACACGCCGGCCTCATGCCCAGGTGTACCTGCAGGAATCCACACAGGGCTCTGAAGCTAATCACAGCTCCTATTTTTGGAACACTTTTTGTGTGTCAGGTGATATGCAAAGTGCCTGGCGTGCATCTTTTAATTTACTCTTCCCACCATATTAGGTATTTCTAAACCCATTTTACAGCCGAAAAAACTGAGCTTGCCGCCCTGAAGCCAGCTGCCCGGGTCCTAGAGCTACTAGGGTGTGGCTGCTCTAGACTTCAATCCAGATTTGTCTAGTTCCCCTCGCTGAGAGGCCGGGAAGCAGCAAACCCCAGACCTGAAAATATTTTTCTTATCTACTCCCTGTGAGAAAAAACCCACGTGCATTCTTCTGTCAGAGAAAAGGCCACAATCTCAGTCCAGATTCCCCAGGGCAATGATATAAAGAGACGGGGGCGATGGTGATATCCCAGCGCTGAGAATCTCAGAGATCACAGGAGTCGCAGAGGGAACTGAGATCCAGAGAGGGAAGCGACTTTTCCAAGGACTCCAGCCCTGTGCTCTCTGTACGGCACTGTCCTGTCTCTGCCAGACAGAGGGGAATGGTCACCGTGTGGGAGAAGCGTAATAGGGTAAAGGAGGGCTTTGGGGGAGGGGAATGAGAGAGAAAGGGAAGCCAAAGGTAACAATGGCAAAATTGAGGTCTGCTAACTTTGTCTTGGGTCAACCCCGCAATGGCTAGGGGCTCTGTGAATCAGCATCACAGATGGTCCCATTGAGAGCCTCGGAAGCCCCAGAGGACATCACAGAACAGCTCTGAGAACGTGCGTGGCTTGTGGCAGGACCTGCTGAAAAGCACTGTGTTACTCATTTGCTCTGACATTAGATTGCCCTATTCATTCATTCATTCATTCATTCATTCATTCATTCATTCCATGAGTATTTGTTGACCGTCTGCTATCTGCTCAGTACTGTTTTAGGAGCATGGGATATTTTAGTGAACACAAGATCCTCGTCCTTATGAAGTTCACCATACATAGACAATATATAAATTCCAACATATCTTGGAAAGTGAAAAGTGCTGTAAAAGAAGAAAAAGTAAAGAGGGGGTAGGACCTGAGAGTGAAGTCAAAACAGTGCATATGGAGGGGGCGGGTTGACATCTTTATAAGGTGGATTGCGTCGGCCTCCCTGAGGAAGTTTCTTTTGATCGAAGACTTGAAGGAGGTGAGGTGTGCCATATCCAAGTGAGCCCCACGGACAGCTGGACAAAGCACATTCCTGGCAAAATACACACTGATATACTAGGGGTAAAGGGAAATTAGGTCTGCAACTTACTCTCACACAATTCAGAAAAAAATAAATTATACGGACACGTAGGTACAGATACACAATATGCATGTGTATGGACACATATATAAATATACATGAGAAAAAAATGATACAAATAGTGTTAAAATGTTAATATTTGGGGAGTCTGGGTGAAGGGTATGTACTATTTTTAGAATTTTTCTGTATGAATTTTTAAAATAAAATATTGTTTTAAAGGATTTATATTCTTTTTTGGGGGGGGTTTCATTTTATTTATTTGGGTGGCTCTGGACCCAGACCCGGCCAGTCAGAGGCAGAGCCGAGGAGACAGTCCTGGGGTCCAGGGCTGGTGGTGGGGTAAGAGCCCGCCTGAGGAGGAAACCAGTCCCGAGGAAGGCAGAGCCGAGACCTGACGCGAAGTCTGCATCTGAAGTTTTACCCTCCAGTGACTTCGGTACGTGAGGCAAAAAGAAATTCCCTTTCTGTTTGAGCCAGATTTTTTCTTAGTCGCAACAAAAAATGTGTTGACTGCTCCCAAGTGTCGGGGACAGCCTCTCTGAGGAAAGGACGTTTACGCAGGGACCTGGAGGATGAGCAGCCGTGGCGCAGGTGAAGAGGTGGGGAAAATGTTCCAGGCCAAGGGACCTGCGAGCGGGAAGGCCCCAGGAAAGGAAAGGGCAAAGCAGGTTGGAGGAGCTATGGGACAGTGGGCATGGTGGGGGCAGGGAGAGTGAGGAGCTGGGTCCCTCACGGAGGGCATCACAGGCGTTTTCAAGGGTCCAGGACTTGATCCCATTAGCAACCAGGATAGTCTGGCAGTGTTTGAAATAGGGACTGACTTAATTTGCATTTTGACATTATTTGCATTTTAATAACACTCTGGGGGCTGTGTGGGGCCTAGATTGACAGGAGGGAAGAGTAGCACAGGGGATTACTTGGAAAATTATTGCAGACCTCCAGGCTAGAGATGATGGGCACGACTCAGAGTTGGGGCAGTGGGCAGGACAGAGACTGGATGGCTTTGGGGGCACCTAGTCTCCCAAGATGGCCCCAATGAACCAGCTTCATCCCACATTGAATCTGGGTCAGCTCGGTGACCCATTTTAGCCAATAGAATGCAGAGGAAGTGACACTGTGCCTTTCAAGGGCAGGAGGCCTGGTGTCCATGTCATTAAGGACGCTGCTATGTGACCTCTGTGAAGGAGCCTGCCCAAAGGACCCAGAGTCTCTCTCAGACTCCAGGAGGGACTAGAAGCCTCTGGCTCCCTCTAGAGTGGATTCCATTGACCGTGGCTCTGACCTATCACCTGAGCACAGTCTCTGTGTCTCTGATTGGTGCGTTCGCTGGAGGCCTAAGGCTGTGGGGATGTTTAGTCAGCAGCGGGGGAGGGGAGCAGAGTGCCCTGAGGTACAGACATGGCTGCCTGGCTCCACTCTTCCTGGGGGTGAGTGAGCAGTTTTCCAGAGGAGAACATGACTACTACAGTAATTTAGAAAGAGGCCCAGCTTGGGTCAGGCTTGCATGACTCAGTGCTCAGCACATGGGCCTCGGTCCCAATTTCTTGGGGAATGGAATGGAATTCCACCACCCACCCCCTCACACTGGGCTGACTCTCCCTGAGCCCCTGACCGCTGCTGGGTGTCCCTCAGCCCAGGTCCCCAGACAAACCTCCCTGTGGGGCTGCTTCTCCCACTCTGCCCCAGCAATGTCCTTCTGATACATTTCTGGATTTTCTCCTCTGGCCCCCTGCACCCCTGACTCAGGGTAATAATACTAACTGCTACCACTTAGGATGCATTTGTGAATGTATGTGCCAGGCACTAGGCAAAAGCTTTTACACACTCGTGAATTCCTTACACCAGTTCTAGGAAGTAGGCATTCTTGTGCCCATTTCACAGATGAATAAAGGGGGTATTCACATAGGATAAGTAAGTTTGCCAAGGTCACCCAGCCAGGAGATGGACTGACGCTTATCCACCCCCGAAATGTGTTCTCTTGTTATCCAGAGACGGTACAGCCGTTCAGCCCGGGTTGGGTTTTGCCCCATCCTACCTCTCAGGATGAGAACCTGATGCTCTTCTTTCAAGAGTACTCAGCTTTGACCTCTTTGCCGGCCGTGCTTCAATTTCGTTGAAGCAGGGGTTCTCAAAGTGTGGTCCCTGGGCCAGTAGCCTCAGCAGGCCCCGGGAACTTGTCAGAAATGCATACTGTCGGGCCCATCGCAGACTTGCCGAATCTGAAACTCCGGGGCGAGGCCCAGACATTTGTTCGAACAAGGCCTCCAGGTAATCGTGATGTGCATCCATCTGAGAGCTACCGGAGAAGGCGGGGGAGGCCACAGCCTTTTCCGTCCCCTCCCAGTGGCTCCAGGGACAGCAGCTGGAGAAAGGGAGAATTTTCAGCCGAGTAGTTTTTATTTGGCTGTTATTGTTTTCCTATCACATTGGTCAGAAATGACTCAGGTCCGGCTTGAGAGAGGGTGTGTGAATTCCTTAATTGTCACACACTATTACTATTTTTTCACATTTGTGTTCAGCCTAAAAGAGAGTGAAAATAAACGTAAAGAGATCCAAACTACCAAATTCAGCCTCTCAACACCTTGTCTGTCTAGGGAAGGGGTGTGACAATAATCCCATCTTCAGTCAACACACTCGAGCTTCTGTGTCAGGGGACACAGACACCTCACTAATAACTAGAATTCTGGGTTCCCAGGGTTAGGGTCCAAAGTCTGCTCCCACATGACCCAGGGCTACACTGTTCCAATTTCCTCACTGTACAGCCTTGAGTTGGAGTCAGGCTCTGCCATCTGTCAGCTGTGTGGTCTTGGGAAAATCACTTGGCCTCTCTGGGCCTCAGATTCCTCCACCCATGAAATGAGAGTAATAATTCTCACCTTGCAGACTTGTGGTGAGGTTGGAGGAAATGTATGTAGCCTGGTGGTGCCACACACACGCTATGTGACCTTGAGGAGTTTAGCATCTCCTGCATGTCACCTCCCCCCTACTACCAACAAGCATACACCGTATAGGGCGGCTGCGAGGTTAGGGGTTATAACCATCTTACCACAAGGCCTCGTGAGGGCAAGTACTCTGGCAATGTCAGCTATTATTGTCATTAAGCGCATAATACCATGCCCGGGGCCTAGAAGATGCTCAATCCATGGCGGCTACTGGTATTATGCATTTCCATCCTCAACTTGAAGACAGCTCTGACCTTACTTCCAGCTTCTGCTTCCTTGCTTCAGAGTCTCCATCGCACTGATGCCTCCTGGGAGTTTGCAGTTCGTGCCCTTTCTGCCAGTTCATCTTGTGTCTGACTCTCAGTTTCAGCCTCTCTTGGGTCTCCTGTTGTTTGCTCTTGGCCTGGTCTTTGCCTTCTTTGTTCTGGCTTCCTGCCCCATTCCCGGGGCCACTTTCATAGGCATCAAATTTGCCAGACCAGAGTTGTTAAGTCCCAGCTCTGTTACTCACTAGCCGTGTGACCTTAGACAAAGGATTTAACCCCAATTTTCTCATCTGTAACACGGAACTAATAGGGGCGCCTGGGTGGCTCAGTCAGTTAAGCGTCTGCCTTCGGCTCAGATCATGATCTCAGTGTCCTGGGATCCAGTCCACTTGGCTCCCTGTTCAGTGGGGAACCTGCTTCTCCTTCTCCTTCTGCCTCTCCCCTTGCTCCTCCTCCCTGCCCATGTTCTCTCTCTTGCTCTGCTCTCTCTCTCTTAAGTAAATAAAATATTTTCTTAAAAAATATTTTATTTATTTATTTTTTCAGGAGAGAGAGAGAGAGGGAGAAAGAGTGAGAGAGCGAGTATGGGGGGAGGGGCAGAGGGAGAAGCCGACTCCCCGCTGAGCAAGGAGCCCCATGCGTGACTCGATGCCAGGACCCTGGGATCATGACCTGAGCCAAAGGCAGACGCTCAACCAACTGAGCCACCCAGGCGTCCCGCTTTGTGAGTTTTGACCTTTTATTTTCCTCAGCCAAGCCTAAACTGAGCCGATGTCCAATCCCGTGAAGCACTGGGAAGCCTGAATGAAATGATGAACCAGAAAGTATTTTGTAAACTCTCCAGTTCTCTACACACGTAAGGCATTTATATTTTTGTGGTGGTTGTGACTGTAATTATGATTGGTTTAGGAAGAATGGGTTGAAATTGCCTGACACGATCCTGGCCAGAGATGAGAGGCTCTTTGTTCTGCTTCAGCAGCGTGTTTCTGAGGGCTGTGCATGGGTAAGAGCGGTACCGGAGACTGTCAGGAGAGGAGTCACCAGCCTCTGGTCTGGATGCCAGCAGGATGACTGCGTGACTTTTGTTGAGCTGGGGCCCAAACGCTCAGGCACCGGTTGGCAGGTAAGCATAAAGACTGAATTGGGACGGATGGGTTTAAATCTGGGCTCCCCCTTTACTTGCTATGTAACCCTGGGCAGGTTACCGAACTTCTCTGAGTTTCAGATTCTTCATCTCTAAAATGGGAACAATTATAGCCCCTATGACATAGGGTTGTCATGGAGATTCAGTGACATCACATACCCAGGAGGGAAAAAGATAAATCTGTATGCAGTGCAGCGTTACAGATTTTTCTGCTCTGACTACTAACCCTTGACAAATTACAAATGTACAGAGTAGATTCAGGCTTGTTCCTTCTTACCTTTTTTGATTCATTCAGTAAGAATACTGAATGGGCCCCACTATGCACTTAACTATGTACCAGGTGATGAAAAAAGCTAGTGAGGTGGACTTAGACCATGGCATCCAAGCTAGCTCAAAAAATAATTAAAAAAAATAGAGCCAGTTTTTTTGAGTGCCCCTACTCTTCTCTTACTGTCATCTTTTTCTTGAGGGCTCCCTTTGAGGTTTCTGCCATAGCTATGTCGGTCTACCCCCTCCTAATCAGTAGATGTTTAGTCTCAGGAAGACCTCAGTCATAATTCATATTATGGTGCAAATGACTACAAATCTCTCAAAGCATGGACCTGCCAGGACCTGCAATGACCCATCCTGTAAAGCGGACTGCCCCTGAAAGGGTGCTCCTATGCATAGAAAGCAAGAAGTTACCAGGCAGAAGGGCCTAGAGAATTCATTCAGTCTGAACCCTCTCAGTTCACAGTGGGGAAACCAAGCCAGGCAGAGGGAACCTTGGTCGAAGCAGGATGACCCAACCAAGGACACCCAGCGGTCATGTGGCCAGGCTGAGTGGGGAGCAGAAAATGGATCTTCCGTACTCTCAAGGTCTACACCATATATATGCTAAACACCTTCCGATTAGGTTGCGCACAATGCCCTAGGGAGATACTGAGGCAGGACAAGAAGTGCCTCGGGCTTCCAAGAAGCCTACAGCCCGACAGAGAACATAAATACATATGTTAGACTAAAGAGCTCTTTGGCCCCACGGATTTGAAATGCTGCCCCCATTACCTATCAAATTCTCCAATATGCATGAGATTATTCTAGATTCTGTTGTTTTACTGCCGTCTCTTTCTGCAGAGCACCATGATGTTTTAAAGACCATAGCTTTATAAAAAAAATTTTTTTTTTAAAGATTTTATTTATTTGACAGAGAGAGGCGCAGCGAAAGAGGGAACACAAGCAGGGGGAGCAGGAGAGGGAGAAGCAGGCTTCCCATGGAGCAGGGAGCCCGATGTGGGACTCGATCCCAGGACCCTGGGATCATGACCTGAGCCGAAGGCAGACGCTTAACGACTGAGCCACCCAGGCGCCCCTAAAATATTTTGATATCTGGTCGAAGAAATCCTCTTTCTTTCTTCTTCTTTTTTTTTTTTTCAAAGATGTCTTAGCTATTCATGTACAATCACTGTTTCAGATGAACTTTTGGATTAGCTTTTGAGTAACACACGTACTGAATCTTCTTCAGCCAGGCACTGGGCACTCTGAGGAGTCAGGCACTCAGTTCCTGCCCTTGGGAGCTCACAAAATAGCTGGGAAGTGTAACCAAACAAGAGGTGTAAAGCAACAACAGGAATCTCATGCTCTGGGTAACAAGAGCCAAATGAGTGAGGAGTCCACACAGATATATCCGCTGTGAGTTCCATTGTCCCTCCAGGCTAGGAAAGTCATGGGATGCTCGACAGGGAAGGTGACATTATACTGTACTTCAATAGGTGAGCAGGAGGAGTTTGTCAGCTGTAGAAGAGAAAAAATGCTTTGAGTTGAGGAAGTCAGAGAATGCACCTTGGAGGAGACATTTTATTTGAAGGTGAGTAGGAGTTTGCCCCATTCAGAAGGTGGGATGAAGGGAAAGATTGCCCTGAGCTGGGAAAGTCACATCTCTGAAGACATTTTAGCTGGGTTTTGAGTTGGAGGAATCAGAGAAGATGCTGGGAGAGGTAATTAAATAAGAAGGATTTTATTAGAAAAGTAACAGAAGGAGATGACATTTGACATGGGCTTTGAGGGATGGAATGAGCAGATCACCAGAGTAGAGGTGAGAGGCACCCGGGAGAGGAGGTAGTCAGAGATTTCCCAGAGCAATCAGGAAACCTCCTGGCTTCCTGCCCGCTCGCTAAGATGCAAGATCCAGGACCTAAGCTTCCCAGCGTGTAGGCGCTCGGGATTCTGAGGCGGCGGCTCTGCAGGTCCCACTTCACGGTGTGGGGTAGCGGTGGAGCCCGCGGGGCTGGGAGGATTGAGGCTTACTCAGGTTTGCCGAGCAGGGTGGCAGAGCTGAGTGCTTTATGTCGGAATCGACCAATGGGGTGGCGGCACCCGGTTGCCAGGGCTACGGAGCGGGGAGGGGCCTGGGCGCCAGGGGCGGAGCCCGGGCGGGGCTTATATAAGCGGGCGGCAGGCGGCAGGCGGGGCGTGGGGTCAGTGGCTGCTGGGCGGGCGGGGCGCAGGCCGCGGGGCCCGAGCCGGGGGGAGCGGGCGAGCGGAGGCGCCGAGGATCCGATTCACTCGCTGGGGAGACCTATGGGCCGAAGCCGTGTAAATGCGTTTTAAGGCGAGTGCGGGGAGTGGCTCGGGGAGCCTCCGGGGGCAGGCGCCCTCGGCTCCAGTGCTGACCTGCCCCCGGCCCCCTTGCCTCCTCTCAGCAGGGGCCTCGGCTCCGCAACTGCCACTCCTCCTTGGGGTGTTGCACAAGTTTCGAGGTCACCGGCGACCCCCCCTAGCAGCGCGCCTGGCTCTGGCCCCCGCGAAGGAGGACGGGGCTTGGTAAGGGGGTGTGGGGGGCGGGTCCTCGGCCCTGCACTCGGGAAGGCTCACCCGGGCAGAACCTCAGCCTTCGGTTCCCGCCCGGGAGCCCACGACCCCTACCCACCATGTGGCCCCATGCACGCTTAGAATCCTAGCACGTCAGGACCTGCCCCCCCCCCCCCATTTACAAACGGTGAAACTGAGGCTCGGAGAGGGGACAGGGCGTACCCAAGGTCACGGAGCGGGGGCGGACTCGAACCTAAACTCCTGCTCTGGGGCTGAGACTCCTTGGTGGGGCCACTCCCAGCCTCTTTAGTTGGGCGTGGTCAAGACAGAGGGTCCCCTGAAAACTTCCGCACCCGAGCTTCTTGGCTTTCCTGCTCCCTCTCGTTCTTTCCCTTTTTGCTAAAACCCGAATTTCATAACTGGAAAGGATCTCCAAAATAATCCATCCATTTTACAGATGGGGAAACTGAGGCTCGGAGAGGCAGTGACATCTTAGGCATATTATGCCTTGTCCCAGTCAGGATTCCTGGTCGTCCCCACCCTTCCCAGGGGACCTAAACTCCGCAGGCTTGTGCTGGCGGTGGGGTGTGTCAGGACTGGGCGCCCCGGCTTGGGGAGGTCAGAGGGGCAGCGGAGGGCAGCCCCCCCAGGGGGCCCCCTCACTTTACCAACCCCCTTCCCCCTGCAGTGTGTTGCATACTTTCTAAGGCGGCCTGGCGGCGGCTTCATCCAGCCCATCGGCTCCTCCTCCTCGGCATGGCTGGCTACTTGAGCAAAACAGACTTTGTGATGGTGGAGGAGGGCTTCAGCACCCGAGAACTGTTGGAGGAGCTCACTCTGGGGGCCTCACAGGCCACCGCGGTGAGGGACTGGGAGTGGGGGTGGGTCTTTTGTTCCCTGTGCAGGCCCAGCTGCCTTCTCTGGAAGGACCCCTGTGGCCCTCATCTTCCTTCATATTTGGCGTTCAGTCCTTGCTGTTGGCCAGAGACGGGCTCATTTGACCCCCATTTCTTTGTTTTTGCCCCAAACTTTGTTCTTCCTGCCTGCCCTGCCCTGATGAACAGCACCACCACTATCTACCCAGCCCTCTGGTCAGAAACCTGGGAGTCCGGCTTCCCCTTGTCATCAGGGCACCACCAAGCTCCTTACACCACCCGCCGGGGTGCTCTGCCCGGCCCTGGCTTTGTAGTTCAGACCTCATCTCTCTAGGGGCCCACTGACCTTCTCCCTGCCTCATCCCACCGGCTCCGACTCCATCACAGCCATGCTCAAGCTCAGAATTGTCTGGCGGTCCTCCACCGCCTGCAGGGTCAAGCCCGAGCTCTGCCTTCACAGCCCCGCTCCCAGCTTTGCCCACAGTGGACCATGCTCCGTGGGAGCTGGCCAAACGACCGCTCTGTTTCCCGATGACACCATGTGCTGTTATCACCCCTCTGCCCAGGCTATTCCCTCTGCCTGGAATGCCCTTCTGCTGGCCTCTCTCGCCCTTACCTATTTCTGTCCTTCCTCATTACTCATCAGTGTCACTTTGTCCTAATCTCCCAGGCCGATTTTGTATTTCCTTTTCTCTGTGGCCTCCACTGCCTTGTGGAGGAACTCCCGCGGAGCATTTATTGAATGGGCCTGTCATTGCGCAAAGCGTTGGCTGTCTTCAAGACCCAAGCCCCTTCAGGGCTGGAACCCTGTCTGGTCAGCTCTGTCCCTTAGCATCATGTCAGACACCAAGTGGGCTTCAGTAAAAAGAAGTGTAGCATAAAAGGGAAACCGTTCCAGCGAGCGTTGAAGTAATGCCGTCTCACCCAGAGCCTCGTACATGTTTTGCCCTCAGCAAATCTGTGATGACCGGTTGCTCACGGGCATGGGTCGCAGCGGCGGTGGGACTCACGCAAGGCTTCAGCGAGCGCCTACGTGTGGAAGGCCGTGGGCTGCAGGCCATAGCTTTGGCCTGCAAGGAATCTATCTTTTTTGGAGAAGATGAATGTATATAGTTCCGATACTTTGAAAGCATGTGCAAAATGCAGTGAGAGCATTAAAGGCAGAGTTAACGGCCTTATTGTTTGGGGGAGGTGAAACTTGAAGGTAGACTGGGAATTTGCCAGACCCGAGTGGGGGCAAGGGGATTCTGCGCGAAGGGCACGGTGGCAGCAAGAGCTTGGAGGTGGGGAAAGGCAGCCGTGTGGGGCTGGAGCTGGAGCTGCGGTGAGTGGAGGAGGGGCGGGAGCCAGATCACAGAACCCCGAATGCAGGCCTCCTGTGCAGAGGACTGTAGGGTGGCTTGGTGGCCAGAGCCGGGCCTGGGGCAGGTTCGCCGGGAGGACGGCAGGTGGCACGCACCAGGAGGGAGCCGAGCGAGGGTCTCACATTCACTCTTCTCGCGCAGGGTGACGTCGCTGCCTTCTTCGTGGCCGACCTGGGTGCTGTGGTGAGAAAGCACTTCTGCTTCCTGAAGTGCCTGCCTCGAGTCCGGCCCTTCTACACGGTCAAGTGCAACAGCAGCCCCGGTGTGCTGAAGGTCCTGGCCGAGCTGGGTCTGGGCTTCAGCTGTGCCAACAAGGTGAGCCCCTGCCCCCCGCCGGCACAATGGCCCTCGCTGCCTGCTCAGCACGCACGAGGTTGGGGTGCTGCCTGCGGGCCCTGGGGAAGCAGGGGTGATGTGCCATTGGCCCCTGCCCCCTGGGACGGGCCACCCACTTGGGAGGGGGGTTGAAGGGATGAGGGAGGGAGAAACAAGCATGGAAGTTCTAAACGGGAAGCCGTGTGTGTGTGTGTGTGTGTGTGTGTGTGTGTGTGTGTGTCTCTGGGTAGGTGGGTCACCTTTTTAATGGAGATTTTCAAGCCTCTTGGCAAAGAGCTAAACATGGTATTCTTCTAATGAAAACAAGACAAAACAACAAAAATACCTTCTTATCATTGTTTTTTTTCTTTTATAGTCTTAGTAATGTGTGACAGTACATTTTCTCAACTAATCCTTTGAGAATTCTGTTGTGTTGCCAATTTTTCTGCCTTTCTAATGAGATTAATGCTGTTGACTTAATTCCCCTCCTGCTCTCTCTAGATTTACTTTGCTTATTTACTGTCGTTCTCTAGTTGTTGAACTCCAATGTGCGGTCAGTGTATAACTAGGTTGACAATACAGTGTTGAGTAAGACAGCCTCTGCCGTCTTGGAGTTGAATGCTTCGCTCATCTATTTTCTTCCTGTTCTTAGTTGATGAAAGGCTTCAAGCTTACAAAGTTTCCTCAGAGTACCGCTTTGGACATATTTATTCATTCAGCAAACCTTTTTTGAGCACCTACCAGGGGGCACGTTCTATTCCAGGTGGGGATTTAGCAAGCGAACAAACCAAACTAAGTCAAACAAAAAAGGCTCTTCTTTCAGGGAACTTGCTTTCTAAAAACCAAATAAGTTAAACAATGAAAATCTATATTATTTTAGATGGTCAATGGTAGGGAGAAAGTTAAAGTGGGGAAGGGAAGTAGGAAATGTTGGGAAGGAGGATTCTACTTTTATGTAGTCTGGCCAGGGAAAGCTTTGCTGAAATTTGAATACAGACCCGAAGGAAGCAAAGGATCAAGCCAGGTGGATAACTAGGGGAAGAGCTTCCAGGCAGAGGGCACAGCAAGTGCAAAGGCCCTGAGGTGAGAACAAACCTGGTGGGCGTTGCTTTGTGAATTTGTCATTACTATTATTTTTTTTAATGGTTAGTAATGATTGTTTTGAGGGGAACTCCTTTCAAATCCAGGTCAACAGCATGGTTGAGTGTTGTGAGGAGGATTCTAGAAAGGGACCCTGGAGGAGAAAGGAGGAGAGCTAGCCTGGGCAGGATGACAGGGGTGGAGGGATTCTGGGTGGGAAAGAGGTGTGCACTATGGTGGGATGGTGAGAACAAGCAGGTTAACCTTTCTCAAAGACGACGTTAACGCTCTTAGTGATAGGTGAGTCTCTCCCCATTGTCACCTCAAAACCCCCTTGCATTAGCCCTTGCTTTGCACACCTAGATTCATGTGTGTCTCACATCAAGCCCGTGAGGTGCGTAGGGAGAGAGATGGCCATTTTACAGTCGAGGAGACTGGGGGCCAACCGCGCGCAGCTTGCTGGTAGCAGAGCCTGGACGTCCCCCTGCAGGCATGCCGGGGCTCGGCTCTGGGAGAAGAGGGAGGGGCTCCTTTTCCAGCCTTCTTGGTCTAGGGGTGAAGAACAGGACTCAAACCCCCTGACTAGTCCTGTGTGTCTGGAAACCCAGAGGTGGGGCCCTGTGCTTGGCCATCTGGCCTCAGGGCTGGCCTCCAAAGAGCAGAGTTAGAGGGTGGTAAGGGCTTAGACCTTGAAGTCTGCAGGGATGTTAAAAGCATGTACTGTTGCTGAGTGCTTCTGTCCTGCCAGGCACTTTGCCGATCGTTTTCTGTATATGATCTCATTTTATTCTCGTAACAACCCTGTGAGGTAATTATTACTACCCTGATTCTGACAACAGCCCAGTGAGGAAGCATTTAACAGACTGGCAAGGGGGCGCAGGGGGAGAGCGACTCGCTGGGAAGTGGCCACGTGAGTAGGGCCAGCAGCAGTGGGGTCTCCAACTCTCTCGCTGCATCTTTCCCTTGGGGAGGGCAGGGCAGAGCTCAGCCCCAGCTGGTGACGATTGCCTTCCTAACCCCCAGGGCCGACAGAGGCCACGCCCCCTCCCTGCAGGTGGGAGGAGCCGGCTTACTGAGAGGTGGATCGAGATGCACAGCTTCTCTTGAAAGGCCGACGCTGCCCTCTTCTGGTTGGCCATCCCTAGTGGCTCCGCTTAACATTGGCCGACATTGACCCAGGGCCGGTGTGAGCGGGGCGGTAGTTATGCCATGGACAGGTCAAGGGCACAAGCCACACCTTGCGTGGGGCTCTGGTCCACCCACCCACCTTCCCAAGGACTTTATGTCACCTCCCCTGCCCCCATCCTGCCTTCTCTTGCTGTCTCTCTCAGCATCCTCCCATCCCCTAGCCCAGTCCCATGCTCCCTCTTTGAGGCCAGAGTTGTCTACACTCGCCTGTATGTGTGCATCTGGCTCTTTCCCTTAGCCCCGGCATCTGAGCCATGCGTCCCCATTTCCACTGTCACTACTCCAAGGAATCTCTTACTAACATCCCCAGCGATCTCCAAGATTCAGTAAGTACTTGATTTTAAACATGCATTTTGAATTATTCAAAGAATGCATTGATTCATTCACACACACATGTAGGCCTTCAGCTTTCTGTTTCCAGAGATAATCACCGTTATGAGTTTGAGTTTGGTGGGTATATGGTGTTTAAAAACTGGGTACAACTATGATCCATAGAAAATGTATTAAATGTAAAAGATGTTTATGTGGTGGGTACTGTGTCGCAATAGCTTTAAACTCGGCAGGTGTTGAAGATCTGTCCATCCTGTCCATGCATTTAGACCTTGTCAGGGACACTCCTTGGTCCTCTTATTTTCCGGACTCTCAGTAACATTCAACACAGCGACTGTTGTTGTAGTAAGAACATTGAATGTGAGGGGCGCCTGGCTGGCTCAGTCGTTAAGCGTCTGCCTTCAGCTCAGGTCATGATCCCAGGTCCTGGGATCGAGCCCCACGTTGGGCTCCCTGCTCAGCGGGGAGTCTGCTTCTCCCTCTCCCTCTGCCCCATCTCCCTGCTTGTGCGTGCACATGCACCCTCTCTCTCTCTCTCAAACAAATAAAATCTTAAAAAAAAAGGAACACTTACCTTGAGATCTACCCTCTTAACACATTTTTGTGTGTACAGCACAGTATTGTTGACTATAAACACGGTTCTGCAGATCTCTAGGACTTCCTTCGTCTTGCAGGACAGGAACTTTATACCCACTGAAGAGCAACTCCCCATTTGTGACAGATTCTTTTTAAAGACACTCAACAATAACCTATGCTGCTAGTTTTAAAGACTTCAGACGTCAATCAGCTGAATGGGAGTGCTGCTCTGTACCTGCCCCCCGACCCCTGGGAGAGTCGACACCTTCCCTCTGTACAGACACGGGTTGCAAGACAAGGTTTGCCATGACAAGAATATATATATATATATATATAATTTATTTTTTTATTAACATATAATATATTATTTGTTTCAGGGGTACAGGTCTGTGATTCATCAGTCTTACGCAATTCACAACACTCACCATAGCACATACCCTCCCCAGTGTCCATCACCCAGCCACCCCATCCCTCCCACCCCCCACCACACCAACAACCCTCAGTTTGTTTCCTGAGATTAAGAGCCTCTTACGGTTTGTCTCCCTCTCCGGTTTTGTCTTGTTTCATTTTTCCCTCCCTTCCCCTGTGATCCTCTGTCTTGTTTCTCAAATTCCTCCTATCAGTGAGATCATATAATACTTGTCTTTCTCTGATTGACTTATTTCACTTAGCATAATACCCTCTAGTTCCATCCACGTCATTGCAAATGGCAAGATTTCATTTTTTTGATGGCTGCGTAATATTCCATTGTATATATATATACCACCTCTTCTTTATCCATTTATCTGTTGATGGACATCTGGGCTCTTTCCATAGTTTGGCTATTGTGGACATTGCTGCTATAAACATCGGGGTGCATGTGCCCCTTCGGATCCCTACATTTGTATCTTTGGGGTAAATACCCAGTAGTGCAGTTGCTGGGTTGTAGGGTAGCTCTATTTTCAACTTTTTGAGGAACCTCCATACTGTTTTCCAGAGTGGCTGCACCAGCTTGCATTCCCACCAACAGTGTAGGAGGGTTCCCTTTTCTCTGCCTCCCCGCCGACATCTGTCATTTCCTGACTTGTTAATTTTAGCCATTCTGACTGGTGTGAGGTGGTATCTCATTGTGGTTTTGAGTCGTATTTGCCTGATGCTGAGTGATGTTGAGCACTTTTCCATGTGTCTGTTGGCCATTTGGATGTCTTCTTTGCAGAAATGTCTGTTCATGTCTTCTGCCCATTTCTTGATTGGGTTATTTGTTCTTTGGGTGTTGAGTTTGATAAGTTCATTATAGATTTTGGATACTAGCCCTTTATCTGATATGTCATTTGCAAATATCTTCTCCCATTCTGTTGGTTGTGCCGTGACAAGAATATATAATCTATGTGCTGTTCCCCCTCTTCTGGACGTGTCCTTCTTCCTCCCCTCTCTGCAGGTCCTGGGTACCCGACTTCCCTCTCTCTCAATGAGAGAGCTCCTCTGGATTCTGTCTCAGGCTCCCTTTCTCTTGTAAACTCTCCCTCCTCTTAGGGAATTTCATCTCCTCCCACCACTGTAAATACCATCAGTATGCCGCCACCTCCCACATTTTGATCTCCAGCCCAGACCTTATATCTCCAGCAGCTGCCGGGATCCCACAGGATGCCTGGAACCCGGTGTGTTCCAACACGTTCACCATCTTCCCCTTGGAGAAGGGCTGCTTGGCCTGCTGGGCATGGAGTCAGACAGCCCCACAAGCCAGCCACCACCAGGCTTGCCGGCCCTGCCCCCAGATCACCTCTCCCCCATCTGTTCCCTCACCCCGGACGATTGCGACCAGTCCCCCCAGAATCTTCTTGGCCCTTCCTGAGTCCGTGTTCACACGGTAGCCAGAGTGATGTGCGTTTAAACCTTGCAGTTAAAGTGCAAATCTGACTGTGCCATTTCCCTCCTTGAAACCCTTCCAACGGATTCCCTTGACTCGCAGGATGAAATATAAATCCACATCAGCCATCTTGGTCTCCCTGTTGGCTCTGCCCACCTCCCTGCAACCTTATCTTCCCCCATGGTGCACCCTCTGCCCAGGTCACTCCAGTGTTCCCTGTTCCTTGACCAGGCTGAGCACATTCTGCCTCAGCCCCTCAGCCCAGACTGCTTCCTGCTACCAGAACCATTCTTTCCTTCCCTCTGGGCCTGGATGAGGCCTCCTGTGGAGCTCAGCTTAACTTTCTGACCCTCAGAAAGGCTGTCCTTGGCTCCTCACATCCGGGTCCCCCATCCGGCTCTCTAGTATCCTGTGCTTTTCCCTCAGGGCTCTGCGTTTGTAACTCCTTCATTATTTATCGCTCATTTGTTCTTACCTATTTTCCCCACTGCCTGAAAGTTCCACAGGGTCAGAAATTTGTCTACTTTACTCACCACTTGTTTTCTTTAGCACCAGGACAGAGCCTGGCATCTCAATGGGTGCTCAAGAAACACTTGTCAGCTCAGCTTCGAGGTTGAATTCTCCATCACAGTACTGTGGTTAAGAGCTCGTGTGCTGAAGTCTGACAGTCCTGGGTTAGAATCCCAGCTGGGCCACTTACAAGCTGTGTGACTTTGGACAAGTCACTTCACCTCTGAGCCTCTGCTTCCTGCCTCATAAAATTATCATGAGGATTAAATAAAGATGTACATAAAATATTTAATGCTATGGCTGTCATATGGAAACCCTTCAGTGAATAACACTAGTTATCATGTAAGTGTTCTAATCAGAGCTAAATCACAAGCCCCAGATTGCTACCGCGGCTTCCTCCTCTTACCTCATATGGTGAAGCCGGGAGCAAAATCACATTTGCACATCCACTCAGACTCAGGGACTTTGGAAGCCAGCTGTGGGGGCAGCAACTCCAGCTTCATCCCACTCTGCTGCTTGCTGGCTGTGTCTCTGCAGGCAGGTGGACTTCTCTGAACTCAGTGTAGTCCTCTGTAACGTATGGCCAGTGCATACCTCACGGGACAGTTCAGGCATCACGTGAGAATGCACGTAAGTACCGCGTGCTGAGAAATTGCTACATTAAAATTAGTCTTATTAGAAACTCAGGATGGCTAAAGATGGCCCTGTGTCTCCCACGGTGTTTCAGAACAGGCTTCCTCTTGACTTCCTGCCCTCCATCATCTCAGACTTGAGTTTGCAAGCTGGGTCTGCCTCCTCCCTGCTGCGTCATCTCACTGAGTACCAGGTTCCTTCTCTCTAGAGCGGAGCCAGGACCCCTCTGACGGGGTTACTGTAAGGAGTAGATAAAGCAGTGAATCCAAAGCAAGGGTTCGCAGACGATGGATGGTCACCAGATCCAGGCCACTGCCTGATTCTGTCAAGTTCTATCGGATCACAGCCATACTCGTTCACTCATGCACCCTGTCTGGCTGCCTTAGTGTTGAATAGATGTCACGGAACCTATATGGCCAGGGCGTCTGGGTGGCTCAGTCCGTTGAGTGTCTGGCTCTTGGTTTTGGCTCAGGTCATGATCTCACGGTTGTGAGATCAAGCTCCACTCTGGGCTCTCTGCCTGGCATGGAGTCTGCTTTGGATTCTCTCTTCCTGTCCCTCCCCCTCTGCCCCTCTGCCTCCCCCTCTGCCCCTCTCCCTCCCCCTCTGCCCCTTTGCCTCCCCCTCTGCCCCTCTGCCTCTCTCCCTGCTTGTGGCTTGCGCATAAGCTCAGAGGTGCTCTCTCTCTCCCTCTTTCTAAAAATAAATAAATAAAATCTTAAAAAAAAAAATTAAAAGAACCTATATGGCCCACCAAGCCTAAGTAAACTATTTGCTCTCTGGCCCTTTATAGAAGTTTACTGACATCTCATTCAGTGCCTGCTTGTGGTAGGTGCTCAGGGACAATGGTTGCTCTCATCATCATCCTTGTCTGTACCATTAATGCAGCAATCAGGTGGGACAGTGTTCTGTAAAGGTGAGGAAGAGGAGGCCCTGGGTTGGGGGGAGGGGCTGGCCAGAGTCACCCAGTGCAGCCCCATGCACACAGCAAGCCTTGGGATGTGGGATGACCTGTGTCAAAAAGACTCTTGGTCTGGTGAACTTTCCAGTACATCAAGGAATATTCTTTTTTTTTTTTTTTAAGATTTTATTTATTTATTTGAGAGAGAGAGAGAGAGAGAGTGTGTGCAGGTGGGGGGAGGGGCAGACAGAGAGGGAGAAGCAGACTCCCCAATGTGCAGGGACCCTGAGATCATGACTTGAGCCGAAGGCAGATTCTTTACCGACAGAGCCACCCAGGTGTCCCCAACAGGGAATAGTCTTTATTTATTTATTTTTTAAAGATTTATTTATTTATTTATTTGACAGAGAGAGCAAGAGAGGGAACACAAGCAGGGGGAGTGGGGGAGGGAGAAGCAGGCTTCCCTCTGAGCAGGGAGCCCGATGTGGGGCTCGATCCCAAGACCCCGGGATCACGACCTGAGCCGAAGGCAGACGCTTAATGACTGAGCCACCCAGGCGCCCCAGGAATATTCTTTAAACATTAAATCTGTCAGGAAAATGTGTCAGGTGCCTATTGTTAGGGCTATCATGACTCCATGTAATGTCTTTGAGTGAATTAGAAAATGTACCCATCCTTGAGGCACTTATTATAATGAATATACTGATTTTGTGAGACTGAGATGCTTTACTGCCGGGAAGTTGTAACAAATATATAAATCTATAGTGGATTCTCTATGAATGGGACCTCCCTCCTCTCAATTGTACAGTGCGCCACCTGCACAGCTGTCTACGGCAGCCTTGTCTGTCAAAGAATGGTGAACCGGCGTGAGTCCTGATTTTCACATATCTGTTGTGTACAAATGAGGCCCACTTCTTAGGGACCTCCCCCTGCATAGCTATGACTCTGCCTCTCATTTGTGCTTCCTTGACTTCTGTGGGCCCGGTAGGCCCTGAGCCTCCTCACCATCACCTTTGGGACCCCACAGGCAGAGATGGAGTTGGTCCAGCGTATTGGTGTCCCTGCCAGTAAGATCATCTACGCCAACCCCTGTAAGCAAATCGCACAGATCAAGTACGCTGCCAAGCATGGGGTCCAGCTGCTGAGCTTTGACAACGAGGCGGAGCTGGCCAAGGTGGTAAAGAGCCACCCCAGTGCCAAGTAAGCAGAGAACCACTTGTGGGGAGGGCTGTGCTGAGTGTGAGGGCAGAGGGGGAGGGAGGAGTGGCGCTGGAGCAGAGGACCCTGCCCTGGACCCAGCCACATTCCCAGGAGTCAGGGGCGGGCGCTCCTGGACTGGACCCAGCAAGCCGGGGCCTGATGAGGGCCAAGGAAGAGATTCTGGGGGTCAAAGTCACAGGCTGAGGGAGCAAGAGGAGGGTGGTCAGGAAAGCTGCATGGAGGACGTGGCCTTCAAGGTGGGCCTGAGGAGGGAGTGGAATTAGCGGAGCGCATCAAAGCACAGAATGCGAGGAGGTCGGAAGCGGCTGGGGGCGTGTGAGGGATGAGCAGAAATTTGGTGTGGCCGGAACAGACCCTGTGCGAGGGGTGAGGGCAACCGTGATGGCTGGTGGGTCACAGTCCCAGGGCAGGGGCCTGATGCACAGGGGCTTTGGCGGGGGTCAGGGCTGGACGTTTTGCTCTGGCTGAGGCTTTCATGCGGTCGCCTGATGCCATCGGGGGCTCTAGGGAGGGCCTCCTCGGGGTGATGGGGAGGCCGGGGGGGCCACTCTGGTTCACCCAAAGCAGCTTCCATTTTGTCGGTTTTATGTGACATTGGGGTTCTCAATAAGACTGTGTTTAAAAAATGGTTCCCCTCATACAAGAAAAGTTGGAAAAGCCTGGCCGGTGTAGAGGCTGATTCGGAGGAAGTGGAGCTGCCGGGGAGAGCTGGTGAGGTCGGGACCAGGGCAGGGGCTGCGGGATGGGCCCAGAGACGTTTAGGGAATGGAAAGGACGGGCCTCGGAGGCTGACTGGCAGTGCAGGGACAGGAAGGGGTGAGGGCCCCGTGGGGTGGGCGGCTCTGAGTTTATACCCCTGTTCTCCGAGAGGACGTGGTTGGGATCGGGGGGGTGGGGTCCATGCGGCAGAAGTGCGCTGTGTATCTCCTCAGGATGGTTCTGTGCATTGCTACCGATGAATCTCACTCCCTGAGCCCCCTGAGCTTCAAGTTTGGAGCGTCGCTGAAATCCTGCAGACACCTGCTGGAAAATGCCAAGAGGAGCCACGTGGAGGTGGTGGGGGTGAGGTGAGTGCCCGGAAGCCCCACCATCCCTGTCATTGGTATCACTGGTGTCATCCCTGACACCAATACGCTGTCATTTCCCAGGAGTGAATCCATTCTCTATGAGACCTCCCTCAGGGCCTCCAAGGAAGGCCTGTCCCTGGGCCTAGAATCCTGCCATTGGAGAGTTTCCTCTCTTTGGAAAGAAAGTGTGGAGTGTCCCATTGCCTCAACCCCATGGTTCCTCAGAAGATCTTGTCCCAGGAGGCCCCAGGAGGTACCTGGATTTGCAGGAGTTATACCAACTTATTATAGGCTACAGGTTGTGCAGCCACATCTTTGCTGCGCTTCTTTGCTCGCAGGGATAGGGACGAAGTCGTGATAATGACGTAAGAGTATAGCTTTCATTTATTCTGTGCTTAGGATATGCCAGGCACTGTGCTAAACGATTCAGGAACATTATCCCACAGCCTTGTGGGACCTTATCCCTACTTTATAGATGGGGAAATGAAAGCACAGCGCTGACTGAGAGGAACGTACGGACCTGGCTGACTCGGGCCCTGCTCCTCATCCCAGATGGCTTAGCCCCAGTGGCAGCATGAGGGGATGGGAGGGACACCAAGTGCTAAGGGACCTCGGATCTAGTCTCTTGCCCACCCCTCACTTGCCCCGTGACCCTTGGCAATGCATTTACCCTCCGGGCCCTCAGTCACTATATCTGCAGAATGGGCATGATGCCCATTGTGCCTGTCCAAGGCTGCTCCCGGCGGGGGCTGAGGCGGTGGCACCTGGGGCCCTGCATGTAAGCCGAGGGTCTTCTTCCCTTCCCAGTTTTCACGTCGGCAGCGGCTGTCCTGACCTTCATGCCTACACTCAGTCCATCGCAGATGCCCGGCTTGTGTTTGAAATGGGCGCTGAGCTGGGCCACGGGATGCACATCCTGGACCTTGGCGGTGGCTTCCCTGGATTGGAGGGGGCCAAAGTGAGATTCGAAGAGGTAACCCAGGGTCAGAAGTGTGGTACTGGGCTCTGCGGGAGGTGGGGTGGGCATACCCGGCACTGTTGAGTGGGTCCCAGGCATGGCATGCTGTGCTTGATGCTTTACCCGGATCATCTTATTATTAGCCCCATGTTACAGCTGAGCAAACTGAGGCTCCTCGAGGTTATGTCACTTTCTGAGTCTACGGCAGAGCTGGCCACACATCCAACACTCTCTGACTCTAGTCCATGCACATATTTGAAGCTTAACCAGGCCTATTTGCATAAGTCCTGAAACTCTCTGAGGGCCTGGCATGCTCTATTCTCCCTCAGGTGAGCTGATGAGAAATCAAACGGGAGGGCAAGGAAAGGAAAAGCCCACCTTCTGTCTGCTTCTTTCCATCTGAGATGAAATCAAGAAAAATGTGCCCCCGCAATCCCCATTCCAACCACTAGGGGCCGCCTCTCCCTAATAAGAGCCAAGTCCTGGGACATCCGCATCTCAGGATTGACCCTAAGAAAATAATCCCCCACAGACGCAAAGAGTTAGCCCCAAAGATGAGCATCGTAGCAGTGTTCGTAACAAAAACCCAGTGGACTTTCCTGGTCCGTCTAACACTCGGGAAGTGGTTAAATTATGGTACATTCGTATGACTCCCATGTGAGATCATTCACGGAAGTCTGTTGAGTAAAACAGATTATAAAACATGTATAACCTTATCATGTTTATAATAAAAAACAGTGTTTGTATAGAAAAAGAATTAAAGGAACTACTCCAAAAAGTTAACAGTGATTAACAATCTGGATGATAGAATTGCGGGTGATTTTGATTTTCATTCTTCTCTGTATTTTCTGTGAAAAATGTGTCATTTAACACATTGGTCATTTATGAAAGATCTACATCAGGGCTTCTGGAACCTGAGTACCAAGTGTTATGTTAAGAACACCTCTTCCCAGGGCGCCTGGGTGGCTCAGTTGGTTAAGCGACTGCCTTCGGCTCAGGTCATGATCCTGGAGTCCCTGGATCGAGTCCCGCATCGGGCTTCCCTGCTCAGCAGGGAGTCTGCTTCTCCCTCTGACCCTCCCCCCTCTCATGCTCACTTTACCTCATTCTCTCTCTCAAATAAATAAATAAAATCTTAAAAAAAAAAAAAAAAGAACACCTCTTCCCATTGTGGGGGCGTTGAGGAAGGTGATTTACACAAGCATAAGGGTCTTGACCCAGCTCCGTCTGCCTCCTACATCAGGAAGCCTGACCAACTGTCTCTAGTCCCCAGTCTGGGGTCTTAGTAGCTGCCAAGTGCTTCTTTCTGAAATCAAAGAAGCTTTCAAGAAATAGACTTGCAGCTATAGCAAGTCCTCAGTATGTAAACCCCCCATTTCACACATGTCATTGTCCCCCATCCCTGTCCCACCAGATTGCTTCTGTGATCAACTCAGCCTTGGACCTGTACTTCCCGGAGGGCTGTGGCGTGGACATCCTTGCCAGGCTGGGGCGTTACTATGTGACTTCGGCCTTCACCTTGGCAGTCAGCATCATTGCCAAGAAGGAGGTTCTTCTGGACCAGCCTGGAAGGGAGGGTAGGTGCCAGGTGGGCAGCAGAGCCCTGTTTTTTCCCGAAGCTAGGGACAGTGGCTGGCTGAGCAAGGTCCGGTTTTAGGGGATGGGAATCTGGAGGATGGATCCTTTCTTTAGGGAAACTTACAACCAAGTCCCCTTACCCCCAAGACACTTATTTAGTGTTAGTTTTTCCTATGCATGTTTACATTTTATGAAGATTGAGATCAAAACAACCTTAGGGAGAACAGATACTTTATTAACCCATTGTACAGATGAGAAAATTGAGAGCCAAAGAGAATACAAGTGAATTGCTTAATAGTAAAAAGTACAGCCTGCATTTGACCCCATGTCTCTCTCCTCTCCAAAGTATAGGCTCTTACTCATCCTACTGCTGCTCATAACATAATGAAAATAATTAATGACAACTTATATTTGTCTAAGCCTACTTTATAGATGACAGAACATAGTTGAGTCACTAGCCCAAAGTCACATAGCTGGTGAGGGGCAATGCCTGGATTCAAGCTCAGGCCGGGCTGACTCAGGGTTCTCTGCCCACATTGCAACATCAGCACTCATCCCTGCCCTTCCAGAGAGATCAGTCCTTCCAGCAGCCCCTTGAGTGAGTGGGGTCTGGGGCTCTGATCTTGGAGCCTTCTGCTCCAGGGTCCCAGGCAGGAGAGCTGAGGTGTGTCTTCCCCTGAGAATCCATTTGGAGGGGTGGTGGGCTCCAGGTAGAATGTCTTCTGTGTGTGTGTGTGTGTGTGTGTGTGTGTGTGTGTAGAGATGACATTCTTCTGGCTTCCTTTATAAATCTGGGTAATTACCGTATTAGTCCAGCCGGGAGACCTGGTTTCTCATTTCAGCTCATGCATTGCCCCGTGAGGGGGCTGTGAGGGTGGTTTACATACTGAGGACTTGCTATAGTTGCAAGTCTGAGCGAGCGGCTTAACCTCTTGGGGTATCGAGTTTGGGTGGGCTGCTCTTTGGCCTTTGCTGGGGCATCCAGGGGCTCAGATGCAGGCAGGAAGTATGTCCTGTGCAGGGGTGCTCACCTGCAGGGGTGAGTGCACCACGTGAACCTCATGTCATAGGAGGCAGCAGGATCCACCCCATAGCTGAGGAAGGGGCAGCCTTTTTGCTTCAGTTACCCATCATCCTTGCTGAGCCTCCCATTGTGCCAGCACCCCGCTCCCACCCCCTCACACTGCTGCTTGTGCTGCCCCTGACCCCTCCCCTCCCCACAGAGGAAAATGGTTCCACCCCCAAGACCATCGTGTACCACCTCGGTGAGGGCGTGTATGGAATCTTCAACTCAGTCCTGTTTGACAACACGTGCCCTACCCCCATCCTGCAGAAGGTGAGCCTACCCCACGTGGGCCTCTTTTCAATCGTGTGTGTGTGTGTGTGTGTTTAAATAACATTCTGGGGGTGTTTTTATCTCATTTTAAACAAGTAAAACGTGTTCATTGTAGAAAATGGCGGGATGATGAAGATCACCCGTAATCCCACCATGTAGAGATAGACTCTTTGAACATTAGATTTCTTTTTAGTCTTTAAAAAAATGTATTCTATTTTTAAAAATAAAGTTGGATTGTATTGTTTTGTAACTGCTTTTTTCCACTCAGTATGGATGGGTATAGCTCTTTCTATGCCGTCAGCTCTTTGACAACATGCTTTTTGAAGACTACATAGTATTTTAATCCATCTAACCTAGTGGTTGGTTTGCTATTTTCAAGTGTTGTGAGTATATCTATCTTGACGTCCATGTCTGATCAAGCCCTGGAGTGAATTTCTAGAAGCAAAAAGAAACAGTTCATCTTTAATGGGTTTTTCCAGGGTGACAAGGGAACAGGAATGGACAAAGAGGGGAAAGAAAATCAGACACACCATTGTAGTTTCGCATCTCCAGGCCTTTGTTGTGTGGCCCCTTTTCTGGAAGGGAACTTCAGTGCCTAACGGGCACCCAGATCATCCTGAGCTCTCAGTGTGTTTTTGTTTTTCTCTCTTTTTCCACCCTGTCTAGTTTTTTAAGACCCACTCAAATGTCAGCTCCTCTTTGTAGCTCTTCCTGCCCCTTATCTATCACAGGCAGAAGGAGCCCCCCCCTCCACCTCCACCTCCACCTGCCCATGCCATGACTTGATTATGTCCTCGTTCCATAGCTGGGTTGTTCAATGTGGTTTCCTCCAGCTAGTCTGAGTAAGCCTCCCTGATGTGCTCAGAAATTCAGTTTTCCACCGTGATGCACCAGTCCTGCCTGCATTCTTGTGGTTTCCCACATCCGACCGCACTGAGAAAGGACCAGGTTGGCCTAGGCCAGCCGAGCCCCAGGTCACACAGCAGGCGGCAGCTGCTTCCCAGGTCCTGTCCCCCTCCAGACCCCCTCCACCTTCCAGTGCCCCTTTTCCTGTCACATGCCGTCCCTGACCCACTCCGCATTCCCTTCATCAGCAACTCAGATGAGCAGGACTGTGGGCCCAGCTCATTACCACACCCCCCATTCAGGGTCTCCATTTTGATTAATTTCCAGTTGGTATTCCTGCCTTGGACACCAGGATGTTACTGACCCTTTTTGTGATCAGTCCTGTTCCTCCTCTGGACGCTGTTGAAGTTTCATACTTTGGGCTGTCAACCACTTACCAGGTCCAGCCATGTGACCAGATCCAGGGTGGGGCCCCTGGCTGGTGGTGGAGGCAGTTGACGACATACACAGTAAATTAGCTGCAATTGTGTTGGGTGTGTGTTAGAGGGACCCAGCCTGGCTGGGGGTGTCTGCATCTTCTTCCCCAAGGAAGGTCCCCTTCACGAGTCATGGTGGCAGCTTTGCATCCCTGCTCTTCATTCCCCAGGACTTTGTGTTTGGACCCCAGGCACAGAAAGTCCCATTAAACATAATCAATCCTTGGTTCAAAGTATACTTCTTATCGCTGGAGGCTTCCTGGCTCTTTTTTGTTTTCTTTCTTTCTTTTTAAAAATTTAATAAACATTTGAGTACTCTCAGTATGCAAAGCCCTATCCTGAGGCCTGCACAGGACAGTAGGTGAGACAGAATTGTCTACGCTCTGGAAATGTAGTCCTGCTGGGTAGGTGTGTGTGTGTGTGTGTGTGTGTGTGTGTGTGTGTGTGTGTGTGTGGGCATGTGGTGAGCAGTACGCAGGCTACAACAGTGTCATGAGAAAAGCACAGAAAACTACAGAAGAAGTGTTGCTGGATTTTTTTCAAAAATATTTTAATATATTTAAAAGGAAAGGACTTGAGAAAAATAATCCCATCATCAAATTAAAAATGAACAATTCCATAGTATCCCCTGTCATCCTCCTCATCAATGGTTTTTCTAGTTGATTTGCTGAAATCAGCAGCCAAAAAAGGTCCACATACTGCATCTGGTCGATGGTCTCTCTCTTAACCTATTGGTTTTCCCAAACTCACTCTTTTTTTTTTTTTTTTCATTATTTGTTGATGAAACTGAGTTGTTGGTCCCGAAGTTTCCTGCATTCTGGATATTCCTGATTGGTGGATTCCCTGGATTTCCCTTCGGTGTTATCAAATATATTATTCCATGCCCTGTATTTCTTTGAAACTAGATAGTTAGATTTCATGGTTTCAGTAGATTCCTAATCAGTTTTGGGGTAAAAAAGTTTCATGGGAGGACTTGTCTTTGTTTTTTTTTTTAGTAAAATAAGCATTCTTGTCATTTTACCACCTCATTCCTTTGTCTCTTCCCATGCAAAGTACCCACGATTTAGACTCATCTGTTACCATTTTTTTCATATAGGTTTTTTCTTTTTTTTTAAAATATAGGTTTTTTTTTTTTTCTATTGAGGTAAGAATACTTAACATTAAGATCTACTCTTGTAACAGATGGTTAAGTGTATGATCCTGTATATTAGCTACAGGCTGCGCTATAGCAGATCTCTAGAACTTGTTCACCTTGTAGAGTGGAAACTTTATGTCCTTTGATCATCAACTTCCCATTTCCCCCTCCCATCAACCCCCGACACCCATACTTCTATTCTTTGTTCCATGAGTTTGACTATTAGATACCTCATATAAATGCAAGCATGCAGTGTGTGTCCTTCTGTGACGAGCTCATTTCAGTTAGCATAATGTCCTCAACATTCATTCATGCTGCTGCATTTGCAGGATTTCCTTCTTTGATAAGGCTGATCATGTTCCATTATACGGATATGCTGCATTTTTTTTTTAAAGATTTTATTTATTTATTTGAGACAGAGAGAATGAGAGAGAGAACACGAGAGGAGAGAGGTTCAGAGGCAGAAGCAGACTCCCCGCTGAGCGGGGAGCCTGATGCGGGACTCGATCCAGGGACTCCAGGATCATGACCTGAGCCGAAGGCAGTCGCTTAACCGACTGAGCCACCCAGGCGCCCTGATTTGCTGCATTTTTTTAATCCATTCATCCATCCATGGACATTTAGGTCTTGGCAGCTGTTAATAGTGCTGCGATGAACACGGGAGTGCTTATCCCTCTTAGAGATCTTGATTTCAATTCTTTTGGGGGAATACCCAGAAGTAGAATTGCTGGATCACACTGAATTTTTTGAGGAAGCACCATCCTGTTTTCCACAGCGTCCGCATCATGCTGCATTCCCTCCAGCAGCATACCGGGGTTCCAGTTTCTCCACGACTTTGTCAACACCGGTCGTCTTTTGTTTTTTTTTGCTAACAGCCATCCTAACAGGTGTGAGGTGACATTTCACTGTGGTTTTGACTTGTATTTCTTTTATGATTAATGATGTTGAGCCTCTTTTCGTGTGCCTTTTTGCCATTTGTATGGCTTCTTTCACGTAGTGTTGTCACATCAAAGTTTATTCCTCAATGTATTTATAATTTTTTTTTTTTTAACTTTACAAAAAGGCTGTTCTAATGATGTAAACTTTTTGGACTTCTTCTTTTAAAATTTTTTTTAAAGATATTTATTTATTTATTTATTTTAACGATTTTATTTATTTATTTGACAGAGAGACACACAGTGAGAGAGGGAACACAAGCAGGGGGAGTGGGAGAGGGGGAAGCAGGCTTCCTGCTGAGCAGGGAGCCTGATGTGGGGCTCGATCCCAGGACCCCAGGATCATGACCTGAGCCGAAGGCAGACACTTAACAACTGAGCCACCCAGGCGCCCCTATTTATTTATTTATTTGATAGAGAGACAGCAAGAGAGGGAACACAAGCAGGGGGAGTGGGAGAGGGAGAAGCAGGCTCCCCGCTGATCAGGACTCAATCCCAGGACCCTGGGATCATGACCTGAGCCGAAGGCAGACGCTTAACGACTGAGCCACCCAGGCGCCCCCCTTTTTAGACTTTTTAAAAATCGTGCTGTCACAGTCTAAGATGCACCACCGCTGCTGTGTGTACCTGAGGCCCATCCTTGGACTGCTGTTTCACCCTGTCGGTGAGCATGCTGTGGCCGGCCGTCCACTTTCCTCTCCAGGTGCTAGGCTGTTTCTAGGTCTTCACTACTGTGAGATCTGCCGCTCTGAATATTCTGGTTTGTGACTCTGTGGAGTCGCTGGGCATAGATAGAGCACATGATTGTTCCGCCTCATGAGACAGTGCCAGACAGTTTTCCAAAGTGGTTGTACCACTTGGCGGTCCCCCGCTAGAGGCTGGGTAGATCCACGTTTTCCCCAATGCTTGGCATTGTCAGACTTCAAACATTCTCCCAATTGAATGGATGTGAGATGGTTTCTCCTGTCTTGATGTGCATGTCCCTGATTACTAATGAAGTCGGATATCTCTTTGTACATCATGCTGTACATTTATTGGACATACATATTTTCTCTTCTGTCAGAGACTTTGTAACCTTCCCTTCAGTTACTGCCCTTCGCATCCAACGCTCTCCAGCCAGCGGCCTGCGCTCGCTGCCCTTGCTCCCTCAACTCTCATTCCTTCTTCGAACCTTTCCAGTGGGATATTGATCGCACAACCGTACAGAAGATGCTCTTGAAAGTTCCTTGTGTGTGGCCAGCCCAGAGGTGGCACTTCTGTCTTCAGCAACTGATCTTCCTCCACCTTCATGCTCTTGGCTTTGCCTCTTCCTCTGTCATTCTTACCTTGCCTCTCTGGCACGTTCCCCGTGGCTTCACCCCCTGAATGTTGACTCTCAGGCCTCCATTCGCGATCCTCTTCTCTGCCTGCACGCATTTCCTAGGTGAGCTCTTCCAGGCTGAGGCTTTCAATATCTCCTACAGTCTCATCATTTTCAAATTTATTTCTCTGGTCTGGACCGTTCCCCTGAGCTCCAGACTCGTGTATCCACCTACCCACTTGCCATTTCTACTGGATGTCTCACAGGCACTCAAATTTAACTTGTTTAGAAATGAACTCTTGATTTCCAACCCAAACTTCTTCCTTCGCACAGTTTTCTCTCAGCAAACAGCACAGCCAGCCAGCCAGCTGTTCAAGCTGTAATACTTTGGCATTATTCTCGATTCTTGCTTTCTTCTCTTCCCGCACTCAGTTCACCTGCAGTTTTTCAGTCTAATTCCAAAATACACTTGGAATCCATCTAATTTCTTCCCTGCCACCATGGCAGGGCACAAAATGCCATCACCCCTTCCTAGGCTAGTGTGGCAATCACTAACTGGTCTTCTCGCCCCGACTCCTGCCTTCCTACTATCTATTTTCTACACTGTAGACACACTGATTTTTTTAAATACCCAAAGATCATATCTCTCCTCTGCTTAAAACTTTCGGTGGCTCCCTGTTACTCTCAGAATAGAATCCAGACTCCTCACCCTGGCTGGCAAGGCTCCTGCCCACATCTTTAGCTGCATCTGTCCCCACTGAGCCCCTCACTCACCTGCTCCAGTCCCAGTGGCCTTCTTTCTGCTCCTGGAACACCTAAGCTCCTTCAGCCCTATGGACCATTATATTCACCTGCCCGAAGGCTCTTCCCCTTGCTCCTGAGTTGATTTCCTTATTCTTTTCTGATATGTCTTAGGTCAGATGTCACCTCTTTGGGGAAACCTTTCCTGACTGCTCTCTCTCAAGGGGGCTTGCTTCTCCCCATCAGATAATAATGTCACCCTGTTGATTTTCTTCATAATGTGTCAGAATCTGTGATTATTCTTATTTGATTTTGTTTCCTTGCTTATCATCTGCCTTCCCCACTAGCACACAGGCTCTCTGGGGGCAGCCACTTTGTCTACTCATTACCTCTGCATTCCCAGCACCTGGCGCAGTGCCTGGTCCATAAGTAGGTGCTTGATAACTACTTGTTGAATGAATGATGAATGAATGGATCACCCACTATACTGTGAGCCCCTTGAAGGCAGAAGTGTTTCCCCAGTACAGGACCTGGCACATAGTAGGTGCTCTATGTTGGAATGGAATCAATCTTTCAAAATTATGGGAGCAACCTAAACTTTTAAAGGAACAAAGGAGGGAGAAGCTCTGCAGTCTTCTACCCTAATTTATCCATAATGTCACCCCTCTTTCGCCAGACACACCGAGTGGTGCATGGCTGCAAGCCTCATGCTCAGTGGTGGCAGCTGAAGCCACCATGTACTTACTGTAGCACATGCTGTATGAAGCACTTCACATGGCATTACTCATGTAATCTTTATAATAATCCTATACGGTGGATGCTATTATCAGACCCATTTTACAGATGAGAAAACTGAGGCATGGGGTGGTGAAGCAACTTGCTCAAAGTCGCATGCTAATGAAGGGTACAATTTTTAAACTGCAGCCTGGGAGCTGCTTGGGGGTGTGGTGCATGGCTTATTTGTCTTCAGTTATTTGGGTGTCACTGGAGAACAAGCTCTTAACTACTTTCCTATAAAATTATTGCCTCCAGATAAAATCTTCCCATCACTGGGCATTTGGATATTGCTAATGGAGAGAGGGGGGAGGGACGACGGGAGAGGGAGAGGGAAAGCAGACTCCCTGCTGAGCACGGAGCCTGATGCAGGACTCGATCCCTCGACCCTGAGATCATGACCTGTGCCCAAACCAAGAGTTGGACGCTTAACCAACTGAGTCACCCAGGCGCCCTGAACATCGCTAATTTTTGGTTCTGTTCATTCATGTATCCACGAGTATTACCTCCGCCTAGGATGTGCTTTGTGAGTCTCTTTGCATGGCTGGCTCAAGTTACCCACTGAAAGTGGGTTCCCTTTAAAAAACTCTTTTCGGGGCGCCTGGGTGGCTCAGTCGTTAAGTGTCTGCCTTCAGCTCCGGTCATGATCCCAGGGTGCTGGGATCGAGTCCCACATCGGGCTCCCTGCTCTGCGGGAAGCCTGCTTCTCCCTCTTCCACTCCCGCTGCTTCTGTTCCCTCTCTCTCTGTCAAATAGATAAAATCTTTAAAAAAAAAACCAAAAAAACCCCACCTCTTTTCTTATGATGAGTCCCTAGAATAGGATTACCAGGTAAAAAGATATGAGCACTTTTAGGTCTCTTTTTTTTTTTTTTTAAAGATTTTATTTATTTATTTGAGAGAGAGAGCACATGTGAGGGGGGAGGGTCAGAGGGAGAAGCAGGCTCCCTGCACAGCAGGGAGCCCGATGCGGGACTCGATGCCGGGACTCCAGGATCATGACCTGAGCCGAAGGCAGTCGCTTAACCGACTGAGCCACCCAGGCGCCCGAGCACCTTTAGGTCTCTTGATACATAATTGCCAGATTGTTTTCCTCAAAGCTTGGCCCGGTCTATACTGTAGCAGCTGTGCTCATTTCGTAGGAAGCTCACTAGCAGTGCACGCTGTGACTTTTTCTTGTTGGCTAATGTATCTGAAATGGTATATACCTCAGTATTTCTTTCATTTCTGTCTTCTTGACAAGGATAAAGCATTTTGTTTATTGTTTTATGTCCTTTGATGTCAATATCTTTTTATATTCTCCATTTACCTAATTTAGAGTTTTTTCTTACAAATGAAGATAAGCTTGCATAGGGATATGTGTGTGTATTTCATATAGTATTTGATACAAATAGTTTTTTTTGGTCAATCGGTTGGTCTTATTCTAGTTTTGTGATTCTTTGTTATTCTTTCATAGAAGTTTCAACATACTATCATGTGTCTTCACTAAGTGCTCTGCAATTAATAGTGAGGGAATTTGTCCCTCTTTACCTTTTGTGCTCTGCGAGTTATAGATTGCCTTTATTTTATACATATTTTTTCTGTTGTAGAAATAGAATGTGTAGTGCTTGCTTCAGCAGCACATATACTAAAATTGGAACGAAACAGAAGATTAGCATGGCCCCTGTGCAAGGATGATATGCAAATTTGTGAAGTGTCCTATAAATTAAAAAAGAGAGAGAGGGAATGTTAATTGGGGAAAATCTAGTACAAACAGCCATATAAAGTGATCCCTTAATCCCACCATACAGAGATGATTATTGTTAAAATTTACTTTGATTCCTTTTTTTTTAAGTGTCATAGTACACATTGTTTTTAACTTTTAAAATAACATATTGGGAGATGTGGTTTTCTTTAAATACGGATATTTAGGTGAACTTTTTAATATATAAACACTTTAAATGTTGATTGAGTGGTCTAAAATGACATATATTGGGGCGCCTGGGTGGCTCAGTCGTTAAGCGTCTGCCTTCGGCTCAGGTCATGATCCCAGGGTCCTGGGATCGAGCCCCGCATCAGGCTTCCTGCTCGGCGGGAGGCCTGCTTCTCCGTCTCCCACTCCCCCTGCTTGTGTTCCTGCTCTCACTATCTCTCTCTCTCTGTCAAATAAATAAATAAAATCTTAAAAAATAAATAAATAAAATGACATATATTTAGGGTTAGAGATACAATTTAGTAACTGTGTAATGGCACTTTATAAATGCAAGGTAGAGTTGGGTGTGGGGAGGGACCCAGATAGGGCAAGTACCTCAGGAGTTTTATAAGAATCTTGGGAACCAAATTTCAGAGTACAAGCTTCCATCACTCCACTCTGTCCAGAGCCTCTCTCTCTGTTGACAGGATTGGACTTTCTTACTTGCTAATGTATTTTATTCTAGTGATTTGTGGTTACAAAGTGTGACTCTGTTTTGAGTATACTGCAATAGCATTTGTCAAGGGTGGATCTGGTTAGTTCTTGTCTAATCTCTAATGCTTTTTTGTTTTATTATTGCTTTGCCATAATGTACACTGGTTTTATTTTTTTCATCTCTTGTCTTTATCCTGTCCTTTTGATATTTTTTTTTCTTTGTTTGGCATATTCCGTAGCGTTTTGGCAATAGCTTTGTGCTGTGTTTAGAAAACCAGTAGGGTGCCTTCTATTTCCAGCAATGTGGCAGTCTAGATACTCTGAACAGCCTCCCCACTGACAACAAAGAAAACTGTATCCTGCCTTACAAGAAAGCAGGGGATCCTTCAGAGGTCAAAATTAAGTGAAAGCAGGCATCTCCAATTAGAGTAAAAGCCAGCCTATTCTCCACCCACTAGCCAGAGGGATTCTTTTAAAATGTAAGTCAAATCATGTCTAGTTTTATTAAAACTGCCTAAAACCCTGTGCTGGCTCCCGTCTCACTCCAAATTAAAGCCAAAGTCCTCTGAGGGCTTCTAAGGCCCTTTGTGATCTGCCCCGTCTCCTCTCTTGATTCCCTCCCTCCCCACTCTCCCTCCTGCTCATCCCATCAGTCATGGCAGCCTCCCTGCAGTTCCTTGAGCTCCCCCAGGCACTGTCCTGCCTTTGCACCTTTGCACCAGCTTTTCCTTCTGCCTGGATCATCTTTCTTCCAGGTACCACCCAGGCTCACTCCTTGACCTCCTTTGCATCTTTGCCTGAAGGTCATCTTCTCAGTGAGGCCTATGCTTTATTTAATCCTGCCATCTGCCCCTCCCCCCTGCTCTGTTCTTTCTTTTATGCAGTGCCACTTATTATCTCCTAATTTACTATATAATTTACTTCTTTATTTTGTTGTTTGCCTCCCTCCTGCTGCACTGTAAACACTATGAAGACAAGGACTTTGTCTACTTGGTTCACTAGTGTGTTGCCAGCATGTAAAATCGTGACTATTCAAATATGTGGTAAATGAATTCATTAACCCAGAGAGAAAACCTAACTCTGAAACTGGCTTTCTCTCTGGGAGTGTATGCCGAACCTTTGTGGCATTGATCTTCAGCTTTGATAGCTGTATGCGTTCCTAGGGGCTCAGTCAGGATGGGGAGTCTGATACGATCCCTCGCATAAAGCTAGGAACCTCCCAAAAGGACATCATCATTAGTGTAAGGGGAAACCAGAAAAACACCTATCCCACAGAGGAGGACAGCAAACAAACCAACAAACAAACCAACAAACAAAAACCCCACAAAACCCATGTCTTTTAGATCTTGGTGGTGGTTGGAAGAGGGCATAAAATTGGGACTTTACAGCCATAAGCTAGCCTTTTCTCGGGTTTGTTGTCCAAATTCATATTAACTGTGTTGTCTGAAAAACCTCAAGGCTAGAATTTATTTTATCTTGCAGAAGCAAACACAACGTCTCTCTGGAGTGGAAATCTTCAGCCTAGACTTCTAAGAATTCTCACAAGTAAAGTGCCAAAGTACATGGGCTTGCAGTCAAAAATCACAAAACACAAAGAACCAGGTCACCATGAGGGCAAACCTGCAGAAGTAAGAAACAGCAGAACCAGACCTGCAATTATTTCATGTATTAGAATTATCAGATGTTAAAGATAAACCAGAATGTTTACAATGTTTAAAGAAATAAGAAATTGAAAATGTGACCAAGGGGTACCTGGGTAGCTTAGTTGGTTAAGCCTCCAACTCTTGATTTTGGTTCAGGTCATGATCTCAGGGTCATGAGATCAGGTCCACATTGAGCTCCACATCGGGCTCCATGCTGGACCTGGAGCCTGCTTAAAATTCTCTCTCCCTCTCCTTCTGCCCCTCCTCCCCAACCTGTGTGCTCTCGCTTAAAAAAAAAAAAAAGGTGCTCGCTTCGGCAGCACATATACTAAAATTGGAACGATACAGAGAAGATTAGCATGGCCCCTGCGCAAGGATGACACGCAAATTTGTGAAGCATTCCATATTTTTTTATGTTGAGTGAAATAAGTCAAACAGAGAAAGACATGTATCATATGGCCTCACTGATATGAGGAATTCTTGATCACAGGAAACAAACTGAGGGTTGCTGGAGTAGGGGGTGGGGTGGGAGGGATGGGCTGACTGGGTGATAGACACTGGGGAGGGTATGTGCTCTGGTAAGTGCTGTGAATTGTGCAAGACTGTTGAATCTCAGATCTGTACCTCTGAAACAAATAATGCAATATATGTTAAGAAAAAAAAAAGAAGAAGAAGAAGAAGAAGGTAGCAGGAGGGGAAGAATGAAGGGGGGGAAATTGGAGGGGTAGACGAACCATGAGAGACGATGGACTCTGAAAAACAAACTGAGGGTTCTAGAGGGGAGGGGGGTGGGAGGATGGGTTAGCCTGGTGATGGATATTGAGGAGGGCACATTCTGTATGGAGCACTGGGTGTTATGCACAAACAATGAATCATGGAACACTACATCTAAAACTAATGATGTAATGTACGGGGATTAACATAAGAATAAAAAAAAAGAAAGAAAGAAAATGTGGTCAAAGAGTAAACAAATGTAAAAATATGTTCTAGCAGATTTTTTTTGAAGTAGGCTCCGCGCCAAGCATGGAGCCCAACGCGGGGCTTGAACTTATGACCCTGAGATCAAGACCTGAGTTGAGAGCAAGTCAGCTGATTAACCAGCTGAACCACCCAGGCACCTCTCCAGCAGATTTTTAAAAGGATTAAATAGAGCTTCTAAAAATAAAAAAATATGAAAATTGAAAGAGTGCACAGAGTAAGCAAGCTCTTAGAGACAGTTGAAGAGAAAATTAGAGAGTGGGAAGATAGACCTAAAGAACTGATGCTAATGCAGCACAAAGACAGGGAGATAAAAAATAAGAAAGACACGGGAAATGGCAGACAGAATGAGCACACATCAGACACAACGTCTAATTAGAGTTTCAGGAAGAGATTGCATAAGGATACAGAAACCATACCAGTAATTTGAGCAGGCAAATTTTAATATAAAGAATTGGCAACTTTAAAGGTGGTTGATTACTAAAAGGGGCAAAAGCAGTTACTACTGCTGGTAATGGAGAGTGAACAAGGAAGTACCTTAGAGGAGAGCTCCTCCCTGCAAGGCTGAGGTTGAAACCTTTGAAGAAAGGCTGACTGTCACAGAGACGTGCAGCCTGCCAGTGGCAAAGTAACTTGTCAGAGGGTGCCCAGCACAACTAGATCATAGGAGCAGCCTGCTGCTGAGTGGAAGGGAAGCTTGCTGAAGGGTGTGGGCCAAGGCTGCACTGTGTGGACTGCTGAGGTGAAGGCTACCAGACCCTCATGCTGAGCCATAGAGGCCACACAGGAAACAGCACACTGAAAGAGGGAAAGTCTCTTCTTCCTGATATGTCTTTCTAGCAACTTCTGTTGACAAAGCCTAACATAGAGCTACCTGGCAAAGAAGGAATGTCTAGGGTTCAGCTCCAGTACCACAAAGCGAGACAAAGAAGGGTGGATTGGGACTGAGAGGCAAAAAGTTAATAACTGGCAGAGTCAATAGATGGGAGAGAGGAAGACCTATCTTCAGATTTAGGAAATCCAACAAATCCCACACTTAGACAACATACTAGTGAAACTGAACACCAAAGAAAAAGAGAAGATCTTAAAACTAGTGAGACTAATGAGACAGATAGAAGACTACCTGTAGAAGAATGACAGACTTAGAGCTTTTCTCCCATAACAATGGAAGGTAGGAGATACTGGAATAGCAGCTTTAATATATCAACCTAGAATTTTGTCTCCAGCAAAATGTTTTTCAAGAATGAGTATGAAATGTAGGCATTTTCAGACAAGCAAATACTGAGAGACAGAGCTTCCTTAACAGAAAATCTAAAGGATATATTTCAGGTATAAGGAAAATGATTCCAGAGGAATGGTCTGTGTTGCAAGAAGGAATGGTGACCAAAGATAGCTAAATATGTGGGTACATCCAAAGGATCACTGACTGTCACCACCACCACCACCACCAATAACATTTAATTCATGGGGTTAAAAACAATTTTCAGGGGCATCTGGGTGACTCATTCGGTGAAGCGTCTGCCTTCAGCTTAGGTCATAATCCTGGGGTCCTGGGATCGAGCCCCACATCAGGTTCCTTGCTCAGCAGGAAGCCTGCTTCTCCCTCTCCCTCTGCCTGCCACTTCCCCAGCTTGTGCTCCCTTTCTCTCTCTCTCTGTCAAATAAATAAATAAAATCTTAAAAAAAAGTTTTCAGTTATGATTAGGTTCAGCTGTGAGTAGCAGATCCCAAATACATGACTTGAACAAGATATCGAGGCTTATTTCACTCTTATGTAAATGTCTCAATACAGGCAATTCTGAGCTGGTATAGTGGTTTAAAGTCATGTGGAACCACATTGCTTCCAGTTGTACCTAGCACGATGAGTCAGCCTCATCGTGCTAGGTACAACACGAAGTGCCAGCCATTATAGGAAGGAAGGAAGAGGTGAAGCCCATGTGCAGTTGTCTTTTAAGGAAACTTCCTGAAAGTAGCCACATAATACTTATGTTCTTATCCCATAGCCATTGGGCTAAGATCTTAGTCCCATGGCCATAACTACCTGCAAGGAAAGTTAGCAAACATGGTCTTTATTCTAGGTGGTCATGTGCCTAGCAAAAATGGAGGGTTGGAATTGCTGGGGTAGGCAATTAGCAGCCTCTGCCACAAATAAGATCAACTAAAACACTGGACAGCAATAGAATATAAATTGGGAGGTAAAGGAACCAAGCTGGTGTTGTCAGTTTTTTAACTGAGAGGAAGATATTGATTAATTTTAGACTTTAAGTTAGGCATGCATGTTAAAATGTATATGTTTAGAGTAACCATAAGATAATAAATATAGATAACATAATGGATAATAAATTATATGTAATAGAAATATATATCTATATAAGTAGATAATATAATTGCCAACATTGAAGGTAATTAAAATGGTTTATTTTAGATACCAGCATGAAAAAATAGACAAAGAACATAGTTGAGAGCACAGGAAAAACCCATATATATCTAGAAACTTGATTTTCAACAGGGCTTGCAAAGCAGATCACTGGGGATTGTTTAATATATGATCCTGGGACACCTTATTGTCCACATGCAAAAAATGAAGTTGAATCCCTATCTCAATGCACATGTGAATATAAATCCCAGACATCCATATAGGAGAATATCTGTTTGACCTTAAAACAGGGAAGAACAGTAAAGAATCTCTTACAAACCAAAAAAGGAAAAGACTGATGTGTGTCTACATTAAAATGAAGAGCCTCTGTTCATCTGTTAGCAAAAGGAAAGAGGCAATCACACCCTGGGAGAAAATATGGAAACACATTACAACTGGATAAGGGATCAGTACACAGAGTTTATGAAGGATTCTTTTTTTTTTTTAGTATTTTATTTATTTGAGAGAGAGAGAGCGCACACTGAAGGAGAGTGAGAGGGAGAAGCAGACTCCCCGCTGAGCAGAGAGCCTGATGTGGGACTCGATCCTAGGACCCCGAGATCATGACCCGATATGAAGGATTCTTAAACAACAATCTTAAGAAAATAAGAAGAAAAGCAGTAAAAAATAGAAAGCAATAGAAATATAGACCTAAGACTTTAATAGGCAGTTCACAGGAGAGGAAATCCAAATAGAAAATGAAAAAGTTGGGGTGCCTGGGTGGCTGAGTCGTTAAGCATCTACCTTTGGCTCAGGTCATGCATGATCCCAGGGTCCTGGGATTGAGCCCTGCATCGGGCTCCCTGCTCAGCGGGAAGCCTGCTTCTCCCTCTCCCGCTCCCCCTACTTGTGTTCCCTCTCTTGCTGTCTCTCCCTCTCTCTGTCAAATAAATAAATAAAATCTTAAAAAAAAAAAAAGAAAATGAAAAAGTGCTCAACCTCGTTGGTAATCGAGGAAACATAAATTTAAATGAAAAGGAGACACCATTTTCTACTGACTAGATTAGAAAAAAATTAAAGGCATGACAATATCAAGAGTTGGTGAGGGTATAGAGTAGTTGGATCTCTTAGACACTGGCAGGTAGGAGTTGCTATTTCTATTTTGGGAAACAAGTTGGCATTACTCATAAAGTTAGACATGTGTATACCCTACCTTCCAGCAAGTTCTTAGATATATATTGAAAAGAAACTCTTGGCATGTATATCTGAGGATATATATAAGAATGTTCACAGGAGCTATTTTTAGAATATAAAACATTGGAAACACATTAACATTTGTTGGCAGGGTAATAAATAAATTACGGTGTGTTCCATATAATGAATTCGATGCAGCATATTGTGAATTATGGCCACATATATCAGTTGGATCAATCTTGGGAATGTGGGTTTCAACAACAAAAAAAGCAAGTTGCAGAGATTATGTATTCTATAATTTCATTTTGCACAAATTTCAAAAGTGTACTAAATATTGTGCCAAACAGAGCAGGAGAATAATGAAAACAAAATTCAGGATAATAGGTACCTCTGGAGGGGTTAGGGAAGCAGCATGTCATTGGGGTAGACCACACGGGAGTTTCAAAGATCTTGGGAATTTTATATTTATTTAGCCAGTGGTGGGTACACAGATATTCATTTTATTGTTATTCTTTATATCTTACATGTGGTACAAATATTTTTGTAGGAATTATTTAACAAAAATTGAGTCTGTCATTATTGCTTATTAGTATTCTTTGATAGGCTCACATTTATTCTTTTTTTTTTTTTAAGATTTTATTTATTTATTTGACAGAGAGAGACACAGCGAGAGAGGGAACACAAGCAGGGGGAGTGGGAGAGGGAGAAGCAGGCTTCCCGCTGAGCAGGGAGCCCGATGTGGGGCTCGATCCCAGGACCCTGGGATCATGACCTGAGCCTAAGGCAGACACTCAACGACTGAGCCACCCAGGCGCCCCTCACATTTATTCTTTTATCACGCCACTTCTAACATTCAGAAAAATATCTTGAGAATTTTAATTAGTAATAGCCTACTTAATCTATTTATTAAATTGGGGAGAATTCTCCTTTTTGCTTTATTAAGTTTTCCAGCTAGGAGAGGTAGAGCTCTTGTATTTTATTTCT